TCATTTCGCTCACATTAGCTTTCATCCTTGCAAGTAAATCCACCGCACGAACATGGCAGTTGTGGCTAGCATGGAACAATGCGTTTCTGCCACGGCGATCCAACGCATTGACATCAGCACGGTGTGCGATGAGTGACTCCAGCATCCTTGTATTCCCCTCGGAAGCTGCAACACCTAGTGGAGTCTCCTCGGCGGTTGTTGAAGCTGGGTTCCAATACTTGAGCAGCTCGTCCAACATCCTTTGGCGATTCAATCGTATTGCGAATTGCAAGATGTTGCAGTCGTTCCTGTCACGCATGATTGCCTTGGTTGGTAGACTCTCTACACTGCGAATCAAAGTATCGTTGTCATCCAAGCCCACTGCCGCTGTCATGCATGTCACGATAGAACTCGTCACTGTAATGTCGCTTTTGTCACCCCAGGGAGGATACACGTAGCTGGCACATTCGTTGCAACCAGGCGTTTTCTTGCGAACTGCCCAAAACCGTTTGCGCTGGACCTCACTTTTTAGGCAGTCCTTGCCCAAGTAAACTAGCTCTTCGTGCACCTCAAAGCGAGCATCCAAGACATTGCCCTGTACTTGGTCACTGCTCAACAAGCAGGCTGTGTATTCGGTTCGCATGTTGTACACACTGAACTCCGGAAGCATGAAGCCATCACTGTCCCCGGCTGGAATACTCAGATATATTGGAGGATGGTGCGGCACAATTCGCAGTGGAAGGACAGACTCCTCGGCATCTGTAGGGTCCTGTGTTGCAGCCACTACGAGCTGTGTGTCCATCATCAACAACAACCTCGCCGGCATTGAGAGCAGGAACAAATTCGAAATCTCGTACTCATCGGTCGAGTTTTCTGCTCGAAACGGCCTCCAAGATTTTGAGCCGGAGTCACCAGTATGAAAAGAAATTAGAACCACGGACTTGCCGCTGATGCTCACATCTCGCAGCCATTGTACAAGGTCCGAGCCCCTGCCAGACAGACTGCCCTGGCTTTCGTCCGGCCTCAACCGTCCTCGTGCACTGTGCTCACGGCGCAGGAAGACGCACACATCCGATCCTGGCAGTGCAAGGATCTCCTGATGAAGGCAGTCGTTGCCGACGCCCGGCTTCTCCGTGCCGCAGTCGCAAGAGGGAGCCAGGGTTGCCAAGTCATACTTTGACACCCTCCCTGGGCCAACGCCGACAAGGGGCGCAAAACAGATAGGCCGGAGCTCCACACCCAAAGTCAGATCCCCGCGTAGCTTCGGCACATGCCAATCGAAGTGCTTCTTCTGGTAGCTCCAGCCACGCCTCTCATGAAACGGCGCGGTGAGGTTGGGATCTGCAGGCTCGTCGACATCAGCAGTGCCGTTTAGAGAGAGGCTGATCGTCTCCCCAACTCGTATAACATGAATCACATACCTTCGAGCACTACCGCGTAGTCAACAAGAAACAAACGCAAACTGTCCCAAAGCATTTTTATTTCGAAAAGAATCCAGCACCGAATCACCTCCACCAGGAGGCACTGTGTCTTTGATTCGCAGCTTGCTCGCTGCACGAAGAGTCATGCGACTGTAAAAAGGGCCTTGTGGTAGAAACACCTGGGAGGTTCTCACAAAAACTCGGGGTCTCCAGTGCTCTTGTCAGACACTGGTACCACATGTTTTGTTAGGACTTACCGTAATTATATACTACCATGAACTGACTTTCTGACTCTCCCACCGCGTACTCCCCTGCTGTGACCGAGGAAGTCATCATTGCAGCACCTGCCTCCACTTTGGAATACAGGAGGACCTCCTGTTGGCCTTCGCGCTCTGTTTGGGAGGATCTGGAAGAAGTACTTGATATTAGGGCTATGACGGTTCTGAGAATTGCTAGGGTTCCGGCACAGAGAAAGTAGTTGGCTATGGTTGCCCTAATATAATGTCTTTGTGGCATCATGGGACCTGTGAAACAAAAACGAAGCTGCCGGCCTTCCAACTGCGGGTGCTGATACTCCAAGCTCAGACTCGCCGTATGCTCGCCAATCTGAAATGCAAATGTAATGGAATCCGAGCTACTGTGCAACAACAGAGTGTTCTGCAGGGTGGTCGCTTCTGCTTCGTAGAGAAGGTAGCCCTGGCTGAAAGAGTAGTCAACAAGAGTGCCATGCATCCGCATACCATCCAGGGTCATGCAGGCCAAAACAGTCCAGGCAGTGGTGGCCGCTGTCCAAGACAACATGCTTGCAACAAGGAAGTGGCACTCCTGAGCATGGCTGGCAGTAGCGAGTGCTCATCATACTCTACAGGACGTAAGCCCCTCGCAGTCTATTCGCTTCTGTGGTCCGGCCCACCCAAACTCAAACAAACCAAATCATAATGCAACAGTTAGGCCAGGATTCTCTCTTGCTGCCCACAGCATCTAATTTGTCAAGTGTGCTGGGCAAAGTAGAGCTCCCAGTGACCCACTCGCAAGTGCGCTGTGGCTGCGCCCATTTCTCGAGTCCCGTGACCGATACATACAAGTCCCACACATGCACACCCACCGCAACCAACAGCGCTGAGCAACCAGATATGAGATCCAAGAACTGGCCGCCGAACGTCATGAAAATCACGACAGCTTGGATCGCAGCACTCGCTGCAAAGGCGTAGGAGGCATAGCTCGGAGTCGGACTTAGTCGTTTCTGCTGCGCCTCAAGGAGTTCGTCATGATTCACTCCCCAGTACACATTTCTTTCAATTTGCTGAAGAACGAGCACATGCATGAAGAAGCAGCCTTGTGCCGCTATTACAACGCTAGACACGGGCAAATGTCTAGCCAAGTCGGAAAGAAGCTTCCATTGTGCTGAAGCATGGCTCGCCGCAAGAATCAGCTGGCGACGCAGCACAGAGCCTGGAGACACGAGAAAATCCGTATGTGCTTTGAAGGCGGCAGGTTCCGTGATGCAAGCACCACGAACTCCAGCTGTGCTGCTTGTTTCGTCGTAGAGTATGATCCAGCCAGGTGGAGTCTGCAAGCGCCCCATAACGGCCTCTGGCTGGTGTGACCGCAAGCAATATCTCAGGCTACCCAGCAAACGCCGAAAGGCGGAGGCGTGAACATACCACGAGGACCTCTTCATCTCGGCAACTGCAACCTCACGATGCCCATCGTAGGGGTCCAAGGGCCCAACAAGTGAGACTTCCTGGCTCTCCGCTTCTGCATATACCACGGTAGTCCTGATGACCTGGTACGTTTGTGGGAGGGGCAGCTCCAATAGCTTGTCAATGGTCTGCACGGCAGGTGAGTTCGCGATTTTGCAAAGTGACTGCGCAAGTCTGAGAACTGTCCAACCAACTGTGCAGCACAAGACTCCCAGACCCAAGAGCAAGAACAACTCGGGGGCTATCAGTTCAATCTGAGACACAGACCTCGAAGTATCTAGTAAAGGATCCCAGCTACGCAATGCATGTGAAAAATGAAATGGCAATGGCTCGAAGGGAAGCTTGGCGACACAGCGGTTGGCGGCAAAGGCATTACACAGAAAGAGTGTCTTGCCAAATATCTCGCGGGCTCTGGGAACGACTAGGACGGACCAATTCGAGTACGGGTCCAGTGCGCTTTCCGGAAACATATGCAGTTCGACAGCTGGTGCTTCCCGCAAACCGCTTTTAGCAACCAAGCTCATGTACTGATCCCGCACGAAAGATGCATCGTGGTTCTTGGCCGCGCTGATAGCATCCTTGATCTGTTTCACTCTGACTCTCTGGCTTAACTGCAACTGCTTAGCCGCGGTGGAGTTCGGCACCTTGCGTAGCTCAATGCCAGAGAGGGCTTCTTGGCAAGCTGGCAGTTCCGATAGAAAGAACTCGCGAGAGTCAAGGATGCTGAAGTCAGGGTCAGCAAAGCTCAGCGAGATTGCATCAAACTTCTCGGGTGAAGTCCTTGGATCGCCATGAAATCTACATGAGGCAGCCCAGCATGGCGAAGTACACCACATGCAGTGTATCGTGCCTATTGCGGCCGGGCAGCGGACGGGCTTCATAGACACATGCGTTGCCGGAACTCAGGACTTCATCCAACTCGGTTGACTCACGGAAGGCAGAGCACCGCCAGCCGAAGACGTGGCAAACAACGAACGCTTGAAAGACAAGCATAGAAATCTGAGCCAGAGAAGCTGCGGCGCATCGACAAAGGCAAAAAGCTGGCTGGCATTGCGAAGCATGAAACGTTCTCCAAGCAAGGCTTCAGTTCGCCAGGTAAAGAAGAGCCAACAATGTGACACAGCGTTTCGATAGCAGCGCTTTTCCGAGACTTCTCGTGAGGGCGTAGCAGGGAAACGACTCCACAAGCACCCATCACAGAAGCCTAAACCCTAAACCCAGGACTTTGGAGAAGACTTGCAGAGGTTCCTTACAAAGCTCGAGCCAGGACCTTCCAACTCTCCGCCTAACCTGCTTAGACGGTTCCTCAAAAGGTTCCTTGATGCGTTCCTGCAATGCGGTTCTGCTAAGAGTTCTACACCTACAATGCATTGCGATGCCCTAACACATGTTCTGCCACGTCCGCTCAGTGAGGTTTGGCGGGACAGTCGGATCTTTCGGATTGTGCGGCTGCCTTGATTTCTCTAAAACCTGCAGTGAACATAGGCAACGCAGGTCCGCGATCCTACTGCAGAAATGGCATGTCCATCCGATCATCGTTCTCGCAATACGACTTGCACTGAAACCCAAGATTTGAGGGTCCAAGGTTGTCAAATCTCCACAAATTGTTGCCCGTTTGGGAACAGCTTCTTCACGGCAAACGCCGAACAATCCATACTGTACGATCCCAATCGCACGGTCCCGAAGCTTGCTAGGGCCTGTAGTTTGAGTCCTCGGCCCTTTGACCGGATCCACAGAGGCTCCGCCTGGTAAACCTACCTTCATTCGCGCGTTGAAGGATTAAGCACAGGTCCGTGGCCAGCTTTGGACTCACCCTCTGTGCTATAAATGCCTTCTTGTCGTCAACGTCCTGTCTGTCCCAAGTCTGGTGTGCAATTCTGCTTTCCACTTCCATTTCAGGCCGTTTCAACAAGCAATTGCACTTGCTTTCCGAAATTTCGTGGTGCTTCTTTCACGTGCCAGGCCACCTTGTCCCATGGCCGTATCGCACCACACCATTGCAGCTCCATGGAGAATGAGAATGCTAGCCTGCATGCACATCGAGTCCACTGGATCGCTGAAGCGGGCATGCACTGACACTCCATGGGCTTCCCGTGATATGGATCTCCGAAAACGGAATTCGAGCCCTGGATGCTTCCTGACGCATCTTTCATGTACCACCTGTTGCCGTGGCCGTATCGCTCCACACCTTTGCAGCGGCATAAAGGATGAGAATGTTCGCGTGCACCGTGAGATCATGAATAGCCGGAAAATGCGGATGATCTCACTTGGACGAGCTGCACCACTTCCTGTGCATGCACTATGATGGGACTTCAAGAATTTCAACATCTCTCAGGGCCGAAGCCAAAACATCAGCTTGAAAACTTCCGCGGCCGCCTCATGCTGACGCCGAGCCGCGCAGCCTCTGCGATATGGGACCTCCACAAAGCAAGAAACCTTAGGACACAAACTCAATCGCAACCCCTTCGCACTGCATGCGCAACAACAAAAACATCGGAGCCCAAGCAGCAGGTAGAGGGCATTCATGGAATCAGATTTCACAAGCCACGTTTTGACGCTGCTGTTTAGCTTCGAGCCATAAAGAAGCTCCAGAGTGCAGCGGAGCCTGAATCTCGTAAGACATGATGCAAACACACGCGCCCCACAGCTGGGGAGAAACCTAGAGCAGCAGTCCGGGCAACAGAAATCCCGGGAGCTTATAATTGCACATAATGTCAACGAGACCGACATGGTGTTGGCCATGAAGGGCTGTAGTTCCTTAGAGGCTTCGGACAGGCTTGATCCGAAGTGATTGTAACTACGAGTGTCAGTCCCTCTGACTTCACAAGAGCTCTCCGCGCTGCAAGAGCAGAGTTTTTGGGAGGCGACGAAGTTTCAGCAAGTCTATGATTGCGGCTACCTTGCCAGCTCTCACACGAACTCCTCCCAAAGTCGCTCGAGGGCCACAAGGAACCTGCGGCAGAGGACTCGTCAAACTTCTGTCTTTACAACTCTGCAGAACATCATACAGACAATGCGCTATGATATAGTTTACCATGACGTACTGTAATAGAGTAAAGTAGCTCATAAATACATAGAAAAAGTGTATGTATATATATATATACACATTGTGTATTTACAAATGATAGAATACAATACAGTATAGTATATTAAATTTTCTCGCCGCAAGCAGCTCATCTTGCAGAGGAGAGGCAGCGCGCCGCCCACTAAGTACAAGGCGAACCTCGTCTCGGGTTTAGGGGTTTACGGTTTAAGGTTTAGTGTTTTTGATGGTTTAAGGTTTTTGGGTTTTTGAGGGTTTAAGGTTTTAGGGTTTTGAGGTTAGGTTCAGGATTTCGGGGTTGACGGGCTCAGGGCTTTTCAGTTTCAGGATGCTTACGGGTCTGAGGCTTAGGGGGTCAAAGCAACGTCGGCAGCACTTGATATAGGAGTTTCCGAAAATTAGGGGTACCGTATTTTGGGGTTCTTATAATAAGGATCCCACTATTTAGGGTACTATATTAGGGTCCCCTATGTTCGGAAAACCCCCATATGAACGAAGAAGAGGAGTGGCCGGGGCCACGGCTTGTCGGAGGGGTCGCGAATCAGCTGACGCTCCATGGTGTCTTTGACAATCCTCGCCTCGTGCCAGGACTCAAGAAGGGGCATCCCAAAGACTACTCAGCCAGAGACTCCAATATCCTCTAATAAAGGAATATATACCTTAAGTTCTACTAGGAACCCGAATATGATTTCATGTACATTCCGTAAATTAAGGGATGTTGGAGTCTCTTTGTACGGAATTGTTAGAGAGCGTGTCTTGAGCCTTGGCTTCCAGTGCTTCCGAGTCTGGTACGGGAACAACAATGTCCCGGCCGGTCCACCTGACAGAGGTTTAGGGTTTAGGGTGGACAGCGAAGTTGGTGACATGAGAAACCCTCAAAGGAACTCTTATGGTACACACTAAACTTAGAGCACTTCTAGGAATTCTAAGTCCCAAGCCCTACTTAAGCCCGATAAACTGGCCAGCGCCACTCACCGGAGACACCTTTCCCAAAGACCCAGCCATCTTGATCGGCGAGCTTCAAATACCTCGGGTCAGATGCGCAGGACAAGGACATTCTCCGTCAACCCGAAGCCCGGAGGATCTCCCACATAGGCACGACATAATGGGTTCCTTGCCTTTTCATGTTGAACGCACCGAACAAATGCGCAGATAGAATGAAAACAAGCCACAAAGACCGCAAAACCGGACCCAAACACCCTGAACCCCAAACCCAAAACCCTCAACCCAAAACCAACCCTAAACCTCAAACCCTAAACCAAAACCCTAAACCCGAAACCCTAAGCCCTAAACCGTATAAACCCTGAACCTGGCATCCCTTGACAACCACTCGTGCACTGGTCCTGCCGTGTTCTTGAGGCCCTCACACCTGGCCGTCTCTGGTCTTCATCTGCGAGCATTGAAACACCTGAGGAGTTTAGAGGGTTTGGGGCTTTAGGGGTTAGGGTTTAGGGGTTAGGTCTTAACCATCTAAAGGTTGCAATATAGAGGAATTAATAATTAGAATAAGGTTTTGGGGCCCACTATACTATAATTTTAATAAGGAACACCCCAAATAATGCAGGTAATTATTTGAGCCCCTATACTAGGGTGTTGGGAGTTAAGGGTGTTGGGGAGGGGGGGGTGAAGAGCTGTGTGAGTTTAAGCTCGGGCAGGCGCTTACATCTGGCTTCAACAATAAGAAATCTTCAAAATGTAGGTTTCCGAGTAACACCCTTAATAAAAAGGGTACCCTGTTTCCTAATATTCGGTTCGAGAAAGGAGACCCCAAAACAAAAAGGGCAAAAGGGTACTACTAGTGCCGGGGAATCTAGAGATACCTTGTCTAAACGCTGAAGCCCCGGAAACCGTAAGCGGTCAGAATAAGGGGACCCCAAAAGAAAAAAAGGGCAAAAGGGTACTACTGGGGAACCTAGAAATACCTTTTCCAAGCCCTGAAAACCGTCCGACCGAGTCCCGCGCGTCGCCGGCTTTGATCATCGAGATCCACTCGCCGGATTTCAGCTTCTGGCTTTCGGCCTCGTTTAGGGTTTAGGGCTTACGGGATTTAGGGTTGGCCTCGGGAGAAGGAAAAAGTGGAAAGTGTCGTGAAAACTAGATGAGATAGTCTGAGTTAGTGTACAATCTATAGATAACTGTGAAAACAGTCTACAGGTGGATGCAATTGTATTGACAGAATAAAGGTGTAGCTGGCTGCATGAAAGTAGGATAGCAATATGTACTACAGAAGGTGGTGTAGTTTATTCTGATTTGCGGATTCGTAGTGCGTGATAATCTTCGTGGCAGTAGGACCAGCAGCGGTCGCAGCACGACCAGCAGCAGCCGCAGCAGAAGCACCACCAACGCGGCTGATAGTGGTCGTGGTGGTGCCGTCGGTACTTTACATTTTCATCGCAGTGCTGTCATTGCCCTAAACCCTCAACCCCCAAACCCTAAACCCCTAGACCCCTAAACCCCTAAACCCCAGACCCCTGAACCCTAACAGGTATACTGACGCGCGAGTACACGAATGACGTCGGCCCTGATCATCTCTTTTCCGGGGCGTAGAAAGCAGTGTTGACTATCCGGCAGGCAAGAACTGAAGGAAATAACGGCTCCTGCCTCATCGCACGAAGCAGCTTCATCAAAATACTATGTGGTACTACGACGCCATTATTCGTAATGTGTGTTTTCGCAGGGGGGGACTTCCCGCCTGGAACCTTCATATTGTTATAGTAACAACCGTGTAAACAATACCATAACGGAAATAAGACTGATTGCAACAATTACGTTAAAGAAGTGTTACTACAATCACAAAAACAACGGTGACAATTGAAATGACATGAAGGCCGTTCTCAATCAGAAAGGCCTTGAGCATCTGTATGAAAATCTGTCCTAAGACAAGCCTCATGAGCATATGTCGCTTCGTTTTGGGTGTTCTGCACATATGCGTCCACGTAGTTTTCCATGTCACGGGTGTTGCCACAGAGACCGCTCGAAGCAAAGCATGCTTGTTCTGCTGCATCACAGGTAGCAACGAAGAAGTAAAAAAATGCTTATCTTGTGCGTATCTTATCTTCCCACGCCACAACAGTCCCCTCTCAACTCTAAACCCTCACACCCCTGAACCCTTAACCCTAAGTGGCTTGGGCTCCGGGCTCCAGCCAAAGTCGGCGCATTCACGTCTGGAGCCATGCGAACCTGCGCCAAGATGCGATGATACGAACCCTGCGCCCAGTTTCGGGTTTAGGGTTTGGGGTTAGGGCTTGGACTTTAGGGTTTAGGGCTTGGGGTTTAGGGTTTGGTGTGACCTTTGCACATGGGATCTCGAACCGTAAGCTCACTTCTACATCTACGGCCCTGAATGGTCCCTAAACCCTAAACCCCAGTCCTTGATGTTGGTCGCAGCTTTGTACAGCCTGGTGCAGTTCAGCAGCTCTGGTGGGCATCTGCAGCTGCCTGTATGTGACAACGACATTAGACCACCTTTCAAAAATGTAGCGAGATCACAGGTTACAGACGATTACAGACATGTATACGAGTACGTATATGCATGTGTATTTGTATGTGTGTGTGTATATGTATACAACCACATTGACATATCGGTTTACTTCTCTTTCAAGTGTTGGTAGCATCACAATGGCAAAACCAGAAAACCTGTCATGTGAACATAAGCACTCATACTTCCGTGTCACAGCACGACGCCACTGCTACAGGGTTGCCACGCTCTGCAGTTCAGTGCCACACAGCGGGACTCTGGTCTTGCAAAGCCCAGACACTGAGGTTACTCTGAGGTGCTACGCTACACTATCCCCTGCTCCCGCTCCGAGGTGCTAACCCAGATTCCGAGTCCAGGCTGTTGGCTCGAGCGGTTCTAGAGACTCTGTGCCTGCGCCGGCGTGACGGCAGGCTGAAAGAACGCTGTGAAGCTGTAAGATCTTGCACAGCACAGCGCTCTGAGCTTCAGGGCTGGACTATGTTGTGGTTGCAGAATGTCTGGGCACCTGAGCATCCCTTCCCACAGCAGTCTGTACATCAGGATGCGATGCTCTACTTGGAAGTTCATGGGTACTTATAAGTGGTTTAAAGTGCCCTTAGTATAGGTCCTAGCTATAGGTACTGAAAATGTCACTTATAACGACCCGTATAACTATCCATGAACCTCCAAGTAACGACTGAGGTCCTGACCATGAAGAATCACGCTCAGCAACAGTGCCGATGCGAAAATCCCTGGAGAAAACCAAGAAGGCTCCACAAGTTTAGGGTTTAGGGTTAGGGTTAGGGCTTAGGGTTTAGGGTTTTTTTTTGAGCACCTTTTTCCACCTAGCAGTTAAGGTTGGCGGAATCCACTATTGTGGGTTTAGGGTTCAGGGTTTAGGGCTCAGGTTTCGATCGAATCGGAACAAGGTTTGGCAATTGAAAGTCAGCTCCAGCCTCTTCGAAACGATAACCTAGCCGCCATGGCTTCGTCGGGCTCCTAACTTTAACAGCCGCTGCTGGAGGTCGCAGTACGCATCCATACTTCGCACTCAAGAAAAGAATTTGCATAAAGTTGTGTTCGAACAGCTGCTGCGAAGAGCTTTACTGACATGTATCTGCTGTCTGCTTTTTTTGCCGCCTGCTGCCAAAGAGCAGCGTGAGTGATGTCAATGCTTCGGACACACTGCAGAGATCATCATGCCCCAAGCCAGTGAAAGGTGATGGATGCTCCACCGAGGCCCAATGCATGTTACAATGTCAACTGCGCTCTGATTGATCAGACTCCCCTGTCCCGACATGTAAAGCCACGACACAAACTTCCCCGCAACGGAAAGTGCCCGACCAGAGAGAAAACATCTTAGCTGGATCGACTAAAGTCACTACAAGTGTCGAGGCCGTCTAGGAGATGATGCATGCGACATGCTGTTCTGACGGTGTCTAAACCTCAAGGTGCATGCAGCAGCACGAAGCAAATTTCAAGAGCGGCTGCGTGATCTCATTTCGTGTTTCGAGGGACAGACAAATCTTCGGGAAGTCGGAGGAAGGAGTTGGAGTTGCACGGTTTAGGGCTTAGGGTTTGGGTTTAATTAGGGCTTAGGGTTTCGGGATTAGGGCTTCGGGTTTAGGGCTTAGGGTTGAGGATCCATTACAACGCTGGCATGACCAGCTCCTGAGCAGATCCTCGAATGGCACGCATGTCACTTGACTTGGGCTAGCACATAAGCAGCACCCTGCTGATGCAAAGCTAGGCATTGAACATGGGCCGAGCAACCAGGTAAGTAGCATGTGGGTGCGCCTCATCCCGTCCCACAGGTCAAACTGAACACCGCTGAATCTACCACAAGACAGAATTCCCCCCCGAACCCTCAAAATCCCCCTGCTTCAGTCCCTTTTCTCCGCGCGAGGTCCCAAATGTCGATCCAGGAAGCTGGTTTGGACTAGGAGCTCGAAGAAAGTGAAAAGGAACTTTGGATGTCGCCCAGTCAAGATGGCTGCTAGGGCCTTCTGCATTGGAACACGAGAATTAGAAATCGGCAACGACGAAACAAGATGGCTTACAGTCCACTGTGCATGCAACACCAAAACTCTGGAAGTAAAACCCGCATTCCCTGTTTGCAGTTTAGGTTTAGGGTTTAGGGTACAAGCCTCGACTCTAAACATCGATGGCCCTTGGGCGTGCATCTCAGCTACAACCAGAATCAGGAGCTTACGGCTTGCTGCCCTTCTTTCCACGGTTCTCCTGCGAGAAAGGCACAAGATGCTCGGTCTGCGCCTAAATTTCAGGGGTCTCTTTGAGTCAGGCCTGTGGATGTTCAAGGAATTGAGGGTCGGTGGTTCATATTGGGGCCTTAATAAGTAGAATGGGATGCTGGAGCATATTTTAGCATAATCATAGTGTGGACGATAAGCGAATAACAATACTAACTTTTCAAGCTTCTACACTAGAGTGGAGAGCTGGCAGCTACGGTGCGGGATCTGCACATGCGTGGGGAAGGGTTTGGGCTTTAGGAGTTTAGGGTTTAAGCTTTTACCTTAAACAAGCCAAAATGTAGATCTCGGAGCAGCAAGATAGCCCTGAAGCTACTGCTGCTATGATGTTACTTGCTTATCTTGTCACACCGTATGGTTTATTGTTATTATTTGTTCTTCATATAATGTATACAACAAGATCCTTAAGAAAAGGGTGAGTTAGGGGAGTTTATGACGTAGCGACCCTCTTAAGGATCCTAAAGAACGATGACGGTCTGCAGCTCCAAATCTTCTATAGGGGCTCAGAAAAGAACGTAAGTAACACATAGGATGGGGATCTCCCACGTGGAAACCCCTAGCAGCAATACTGTTCCTTTCCAATGCCTGTCTAACTGTAGTTCTCCGACCTGGTGCCCCTCTTCGTCATTGGCATTCCAGCCCATGTACACTGCTTCATTGGGTTCTCTGTTACAGACAAGCAGGCTTGAATTATTACAGGAGAACTGCGTTAGGTCAGTCACCCTGCCGAAGCTTCGGCGTTGCTTTGGGGTCTCTGCGACTGACAAGAGAAATCCTGACACCTTTGGGGTTTCCCTGAACATGAAACGGTCTGAACCCTCAACAAGCTTCCTTTTTAGGCTCGGTTCCCCTAGTTAATAAGCCCTTGAAAAGGTAGGCTCTTCTGCGTCCGGGTGGGGTCTGCTGAAGGACCTGCGTGGAAAGAAAGGAGCCCATTGGCAGCCGCTACAATTAGCAAGCAGCCCTTTGTAACTCAGAGAACCCGGAAATCATGCATGGAGACTCATGCCGGGTCCTTTCGGCGAACCTCTTGAGTGGCTTGCGACCGTGGGAAAGACGTCTTCTTGCTCTGCGTTTTGAAGAAAGCTTTCTCCTGTCAAGTTGCAATGCCGTCGTGCACAGGAACAAAATCTGAATCACCCAGAAAGCACAAAGAATACGTCGAACTGCAAGGCATTCTGATGGCCGTATAGGATTTATGCTGTTTTTCCTGGCTTCTACAGAGGCTCTTTAGTTAATCGAGTCATGGGGTTTCCTACGGGCTCTGTGTCGCGCATACACGAGGTTTAAAGTGCTTCACAAACGATTTGTAAGTGTTTCCTATGGTCCATACACCGGCTTTGCGAGTTTTACAATAAGGGCCTTCATTATTAGACTAGTGCTGCGGGTGTGGGGCATAATAACTCGTTTTGGAGCCCTGATGAATAATTTTGGTAATTAGTCCGACCCCTGCATCACACAGCTTGTACCTGGGGTCAAAATCGCCCCAAAAGCATATGTGGTATGGCTTTGGGTCCAAATCCTTGTCCTCAGAGCCCTAGACGTAGAGGGTCTTACGAAGGATGTCCTGCTCCAGCAGCTCCTCGAAGCTCAACTCGGGCTCGTCCTCCATCTCCTCCCACGTGCACAGCTTTCCGAAGCTGCTGAAGCGCGAGAGGGGGGGGGGCTTATAGGGTGTTGTTAAGGGCTCGTGTCCATGACCGCAACACTTTCCTATCCCCAAACACGAGAAGCGCTTGAGAAACACATTCGGCCATTGGGCCTCGTCTTCTTCCTGAGGCTCGCCGCACCTGGGCATCATGCTTGGGTGGGTGGAGTGCAGCCTGCCATCACCCAAAGCCCGAGATCTGAGGAACCGGCTCCGGAACGCCGAAGTGCTCGACGAGAGAGGCTCCTGCAGGATTCATGAGTCTGAGAGATCAGAAGTACACCAGGAGCACTGGCTTGAGTGACTGGTTGTGCAAAAACAAGTGAAGGATGCCTGTAACTTTTGTGCTTGAAGTGAGCCGACAGCCACAACTGTGGTACAGCTTGGAGCAGTGGTAGCATCAGCGTGGGCGCACAAGTGGCTATTCCTGCTGACCTTCTTTAGTGGCCAGTGTTGCCCTGATGTCTGCCCTTGCTGTGATTTCTGCGGTGCTGCACGGGGTCTACACTTACACGATGCACATGCAGACTATGATTGTTACCTTCCCCGTTTACTGAGCACCCCCTCCCGCAATCCTAACAAGCTTCGGAAAATCCTCCTGAAATCACCCCCGCCATTCAGGCGGGATCAAGAGCAAGAGCAGGAACAGCAGCAGAAGCAGGAGCAAGAACAAGGGCGGAAGCAAGATCAGGAGCAAGAACCATATGCAGCAGGAGCAGAAGCAAAAGCCAGAGCAGGAGCAAGAGCCGGAGCAGGAGCCAGAGCAAGATCACCTAAACGTATCAAACACCCCTCCCCTAAACCCTTGAACCTGAAAGATCTAACACCCGAATTGCGGCACTTCCTGAAGCCCTCACGAGTTGAAAGTCCCAAAACCCACAAAACCCTGCATAGGCCATAAACCCTGAACCCCTAATACCCCAAGACCCTACCTATAGTCTCCATTGTAGTTCCTTCTCTTGGCTAACCAGTCTTATGGTTAGGATCCTATAGTAGAGTTTTTTGGTAATCAAAAAAAGGAACTACAATGGAGATTATAGGTAAAAAAAGGAACTACAATGGAGATTATAGGTAAACCCCAAATCCCAAACCCCTGCAGGGGCCTCTGTCTCCCGTGCTGGAAGCGGTGGTGCCACGAGGGCTGTCGCACGGCCTCGCTCCCCGCGGCTTTTAGACTTGATTGTAACAAAGGCGCTTTGATGATTGGAGTACGGCTTCGAGGGGTGACAGATTATAGTATGATGATAGAGACTAACTATAGACTATAATTATGGAGACTTAGTAGATTTGAACTAATAGGAACTAGCTTACGTATGGGGGGATACTCAGGCTACCTGTTCCGATCCCTAGAGTACATTCGTGTATGTTGGTGAAGTATAGACGACATCGCGCCATGCCTTCCCATACATACATTATGATTTTCGTCTTTGCCTCAGCGCAAATAGACTGAGGTTGCAGGCATTTTGCTTCACAGTATTATGTTCAGCGATAAACTCTGTAAACTACGTAGATCGGCCAGACTCCTGTCCGCAAACTGAATCACTTAGATGTTCATTAAACCTTATTCAGGCCTCATGCGGCAGCTTCAAAACCAGAACTTCACAATCACAAGCTTTCAGTCAGGCACCGTCTACCGAAACCCCAGGAAAGCAGAATCAGTGCGGCGGTACTTCTCTGGGCAGCCGACGTCGTGCCGGCAGTAGTAGCTTTCTCCGTGATGTCGCGCTGGTTTTTCTCCTTTGGCAGAATGTCTAAAGGCTGACGAGTTTACCTAAAACTCAAGCCATGCACCCTACTACAAGACTTTTGAACTGCAGGACTGTATGCTTCGCTGTGACGTTCCAGCTCCTGTGACCGAAAGCCGGGGACAACCTATAGTCTCCATTGTAGTTCCTTTTGTTGGTTACCCAAAAACTCATTATAGGATCCCAACCATAAAACTGGTTAACCAAGAGAAGGCTACAACGGAGACTATAGGTAGTGTGTTGAAATCAGCATGTTCCCAGCCTCTGGCGGCGTCTTTGCACAAGACCTCGGAGGCAAGCGATGCGCGATTGCTGCTCTCCCGACCACGTTTTTTCTTGCTTTGAGAATGTGCATCTGTGTGGCCAGCCAGCTACTGATAACTTATCTAGCTACATGCTGGCTGGCTTCCGATAGTAACTAATGGAAGGAGTATTTGAATGTTGGTGTTTGCAGCAACGACTATAGTCTTATCAGTAGTACAATAGGGTGCATCAAATACGGGTGATGTATAAGTATAAGGTGGGTCTTTATTAACCTACTATTGTCATGGCTACAACATTGCTCCTCGGATTGGTGTTGCAAGTCTGCGACAACTACCCATGTTGTATACAGTCTCTCCGCATTCTAATTTTGATTCTTGTGGTGATCCAGTGATGATCAGCGTCCTGCCACTTCATAAGCGAACTTGCGAGCGCTATTCGACCTACTGGTGTGCTATGGGTGCTCGGCGTGTACAGGGCATAGATTGGCATACATATGTTTCTGGTTGCCGATATGACCTATATGCATAGTTAGACGCTATGTCTCGGAACTACTACTGCTGATGGACAAAATCCTGCATGACCTTAAGGACCCTAAACTATGGGAACTATGGTATATTCCTTATAATGCGTAATGCAGGATTTTGTCCATCAGCAGTATTATGGACATGCTCCACAAACCCTTATATAAATGCTCACTATTCCTGGACCAGTCTGGGTCTCCTGGGATCTGCATCTGCCTGCGCTATGGCAAGAGCTGCATCCGAAGGTGGAGCTCCGAAATTTCCCCAAATCCCAAAACAGAGGCTTCGAGTACCCGAACCCTGGAACCCCTTTGGGCCTTTAGGGTTTACGATCTAGGGGAAACCCTCAAACCCCAAACTTTGAAAGTCTAAAACCCGAAAACCCTATAGCCTAAAGCCCCTTAAACTCTAAACCTCTGACCTTAAACCCTAAAGACTCTGAAACAATACACCTCTAACCTTAAGTCTGTGAGGGCCAGGGCACTCAACGAAGCCGGGCTCAGGCACAAGGCTCTTCAGCGTGGGCTTCAGGTCGGAGGCCTGAGCCGGAAGAGGTGCTTCGGGCTTTAGGGTTTAAGGTTTCAGAGGGATTAGGGTTTAGGGTTTTAGATTTAGGTTTAGGTTTAGGGTTTATAAGGTTTCAGAGGGTTTAGGGTTTAGGGTTTTAGATTTTATTTAGGGTTGAGAATTTCGCGTTTAGGGTTGAAGATGTCGCAAGTTCAATGGAGGGTGCTCCTTTGTCTAGGGCTGTTCGGGCTGCTGTGAGGAGGTGTGGGCTCAGGGCTCAGCGTGCACCTTTCGTTAATAATAAGCCCTGAACCCTAAACCCTAAGCCCGAAGCCGTTTGAGGTCGAGGGTCCAGGCAGCTCTGTGTTCAATGTTGCTCGGGTTCGGGTTTGAAGGGGGAGGCCAAACTCCTTGGAGATTTCGATTGCTTTTACGCTCCGTCAGCGAACAACCCCAACCACAGAACACTGCTTCAAAGTGGTATAGAGCGGAACGCATCGAAACCGTGCAGCTTTAGGGTCAGAGGCTTCGCGCTGCTTATAGAACCTGGTGAACCATTCCATTGCTGTATTGCCCTCAACCCGAAACCGAATACAGCCTCAGCCACAAAGCAGAACTCTTAGCCCCAAGCCCCAAATTCTAAGCCCCGAACCCCAGCAAACTATTGTATGACGGGGGAGGGGGGGCTTAACAATCAGAATAGACTTTTGTGGCATGTCATACTGTAGTTTCCAAATAGTCCAGAAAACAACAGAGGCAATTCTTACTTGGAGGGTCATGGGTAGTTATAAGTGCGGTTATAAGTCCCCTAATATGGGTTATAAGTATAGTTATCCTACTTATATCCTACTTAAAACTACCCATGAACCGCCAAGTATAGGGTGTATGGTTACCCTACTTTTCACCCTACTTATAACTATCCATGAACCTCCAAGTATAGGGTGTAGGGCTTGTACCTATGAACCTCCAAGTAGGCCCTAAACCCTATACCCTTATAGAATCCCTATAGATCCCTTCAAAGGGACCCTTAAAGGAGCCCTACTTATAACTACCTATGAACCTCCAAGTAAGGAACTTGTATTAAAATGCTCGCGAGAAGGCCTTGGCTTGTGCCAGACTGGCACCATCGAGGCGCCGCTCCTGAAGTTCCCCTAAACCCTAAACCCTAAACCCCTAAACCCCTAAACCCTAAACCCCTAAACCCTAAACCCCTAAACCCTAAACCCCTAAACCCCTAAACCCTAAACCCCTAAACCCCTAAACCCCTAAACCCCTAAACCCTAAACCCTATGTTTTGCACAGCTGGGACCTACTTTTCCGGTATGTAAGGGAACTGAAGGTTAACCTTTGGGAGTATATAAGGGTTACAGTATTAGAAAGGTTAACCTTTGGGATTATATCAGGATTATAGTATCATAAAGGAGTACCTTTGGGATTATATAAGGGTTATAGTAGCCCAAAAAGGTCCAAGCTTACCTGCTCTACTACTGAGAAGAGGATTGGATGCAGCTCAGGGTTCGGGATGTTGGTTGCTGAGTCTAGCGTTGCATTTGGGTGTTGGGAGTGTGGGTTTCTCAGGAGCAGATTTCGACCGTTTATGGCTTCGGATGTTGGGTCTGGAGTTTCAGGATTGATGGGGATGGCTTGGGAAACTCGTGGCTTCATCACCATCACTTAGCGTCCCGCTGCCGGGACGCAATGCGAAAGTTCTGTTGTCAGGGACATGCTGCCACATCAGAACATTTAGGCGCCAGCTCTGTTAGGTGGCCCTGTGCAAGCTTTGTATAGTAGAAGCCGCAATAGTTAGAATAGGGTTCCTTTAAAGGGGTCTATAAGGGCTACTATACGAGCTATTATAAGGATGTAGTATAGCGGCCTCAATGAATGCTGTTTTGGGGGTTCCTTACTATACTTGCAGTAAAGTTCTGTGCTGGCAAGTCCTGTGTCGTCTCGAGCAAGTACACGGCCTGAGCAGCATCTGTGATAGGTTCGTTGGCAAGCTACGTGCTATTTAATGCTATTTCGTGGTCCGAAGCTGCTTGCAGGCACCGGTTCAATCTCAATGCCATGCAGGAGACCAGAAAATGCCAGAAAAAGAACTCGACATGGCATCCAGCCTTGTCCACGATGGCTGCATCGCCACGCAGGGTCAATCCGCCGAACAGGTACCTGGCTAGGCAGAAGTTGTGCTGAAATCAAAAGCCACATTCCCAAACCCTAAACTGAACCCCCGCCCCGCAGGTGCTTCCTGTTCTGCTTCCTTCACGAAACGAAGGACGGGCGCACACGCGGTCACCCACGGCCGCCACTGTTTGGCCCACGCGGGGGCACGGCCTCGGTAAAGCCACTGTCATTGAATCTGAGTACAGTTGCTGGTGGTTGTTGTTGCAGTTCCGGTTGCTGTCATGGCTATCTGTATATATATATATATATATATGTATATATATATATATACACATACATATAATTATATATATATATATATACACCATCAATATGGGCATCCTTCTTACTGGTACTACTACTGCCACTACTCCCACGACTACTTCGACTACTACGAGTAGAACTACTACGACCACACCTCTCACCACTAACCCTAACCTCCTACCAACCTACTACTACAACATACCCTAAGCCCTAAAGTGTGGGCTGCCACAGATTCTCGCATTCCTGATGATTGACGGTCCTGCCGCTGGCCAGCATGATCCTTCGCAAAGTCCTCTGCAAACCCTAAGCTCCTCCTTAAAGCTCAACGCCTGTGCCACAAAGCCCAACAAAGCTGGTTGAAATATGTCGAAAACCGGCTTCACAACCCCCAAATCGGCCGTCTCAAGCCATGGAAATTGGCAAAACCCACAGTAAACCGAGGCTTCGGCGGGATACCCTGGAGGCATGGCCGGCTCCAAACCCAGGCCTGCCATGCCATTAAGAGAGGAGGATACATGATATTGCATGACATTTTGGAGGAGAGAGAGAGAGAGAGAGACAGAGAGAGAGAGAGAGAGAGAGAGAGAGAGAGAGAGAGCGAGAGAGAGAGAGAGAGAGAGAGATAGAGAGAGAAAAAGACAAAGAGAGAGCAAGAGAGAGAGAGAGAGAACGATACATCTCTGTTTGCTTATTACTACTTGTATAGATATACACGCATACATATACATATACAAATACATATACATATACATATACATATACATATATACATATACATATACATATACATATACACTTACATCTAATGATACGCATATGTGTATATATGTCTGTAACGTACATATCACCAAAAATGAGAAGTCAAACAGCAACAGGCTCGATATCTTGTGATCAGAAACAGGGCCCTGAGGGCACGCTGAACCAGAATAACCAGAATCCTAAGTCGACAACGTGATAAGCACCCTTTGGGGTTTAGGGTTTAGGGACAGCAGCAAAGAAGCGAATGCCAAAACCAACAGCAACAGCGAGCACCCTGCTACGGTGACTCCGGCTACTCAGAATCCATCCGCGACTGTACTCTCATGCAGGCCTCGAGGTCCAAGAGGAAGACTTCCAGCACGTCCTGGCGACAAAGTCGAAGCACTTCGGGGTGCATCTTTCGAGCAACCTGTCTCTGTGCTTGCATTTGGTGAGGATGGTACAGATTCCAGACATTCCAAGCACGGCTTTCGGAAGTTGGAGGAAGAGTCTGAAGGATCTTGAGATTTCACGAGCTGTCGGTTTCAGACGCTATGCCCAGCGACGACTACGGCGACGAGCTGACGAGCAGTACTACTTTGATCTCGTCGCGCCGTTAGTCTTGTCATCCTGCCCAGAGACTCCAATATCCCTTAATTAAGGAATATACCTTAGATTATATTAAGGATCCTACTATAATTCAAGGTATATTCCTTAATTAAAGGCTTTTGGAGTCTCTGGGTGGTTGCTTTGCTGACCGGTCCTTGGCAGGCTCCCAGCGACCACGGCTGCCCGAAAGAAAGAGCAGCGTCTGATCGTCAATCAAGCAGGTCGAAGGGTAGAATGCCTGACAGCTTACAGTTTCGGGCATAGGGATTGGGCTTCAGGCCTTACGATCTAGAGTTTACGGTTTCGAAAGTTTCGAGATCAGGGTTTGGAGTTTGGGCGGTTCCGTGATGTTTTGGCTTGTTGCGGTCCATATAGTAGTCGTCGTGGCGCAGGACTCCAAAATTCCTGCCTGAAGATTTTCGCAAGTTGCCGGGGAGCTCCTCCAGAGATATCAGCCCCCCAGAGGGCCCAATACCCCTTAATTAAGGAATATAGCTAAAATCCTAATATGAAGCCCTTTATTTTTCAAGCCATATTCCTTGATTGGGTATTGCGCTCTCTGGGCCCAGAAGCCCCACAAGCTTCAAATGTAAAACCGAACAGACTCAGAACACTGGAAGTCAACCCCACAAGCCTCAGAAGCTTCAGCTATAAAGCCGAACAGAGCACTGCTGCTGATGGACAAAATCCTGCATGACCCCAAGGACCCTAAACTATGGCAAGTATGGTACATTCCTTAAAATGGGCAATGCAGGATTTTGTCCATCAACAGTGTGAACCGCAGTAAACTCAGAACAAACCCCGCCAGCATCACCCTGGAAAGGCCTTGGACACAACTTCAAACTGCTAAGCACAAAGCCCCGAACCGAATTCGAGCCGTAAGACACCCAAACTCCTAAACCCTAAACCCCGACCCTAAACCCCCAAACCCTAAACCCCCACCCCAAACCCCAAACCCTAAATCAAACCTCTAAACTTCTGGGCTCTGTCTCCCGCCTTCTCTGGCGGCCGGCCACCAAAGGACTGCTCTGTCCAGGTTTGCCTCGGGAACGTTGGTTTTGGGTTCCTTTCGGATGGATAGATAGACAAATCGATAGACAGGCAGATAGATAGATAGATCGATAGATAGGTAGGTCGATAGAAAGATAGAGGGATAGATAGTGCACATGCATATATATATATATATATATATATATATATATATATATATATATATATATATATATATATATATATATATGTACGTATACATAATATACAGACTGTTGTATGCAATATGTGCATCTACGCATTGCGCGTAGGGGTAAAAGATCTCATGCAGAGTGGTATCGCAAGCAGCCCCCCTCTTCTATCCAACACTGGCCCGCCTGGCAGTGTCCAGAATGTGAAGGCCCGTGTGGTCGCGAACCAGCGCATCTGAAAGAGGCATCACATCACATCTATGCAAGCTTTAAAGGAGCCGCTCCAGCATCAGTAGCAAAATGAAACTGCAGATCTTCGACCGAACTTAAGATGTGCTCCCCAATCCGCCTTTGGGAGATGTCATGTGATCACGACCTCCAATGACCAGCATGCACGACGATTGCCTGGCAGAGCATCGGAAAGCTTGCACCAAGCTTTATGTGAAGAACTTTCTAGACCCGTTCCCCTTACTGAGCAAGCAACATCGGAACACCAAACTTGAAGCTTTCATGGGTCTTCGCTGAGGCCCCTGCCGCGGCAGAGTAGTCGCGGCGTGCCCAAACCTGGGACCCGGCTGAAGCTGCCAGCTGTGCAGATACAGTTCACTGGCCCTCCGTAAACCGTAAACCCCTAAACCCTAAACCCCTAAACCCTAAACCCTAAACCCCTAAACCCCCTAAACCCTAAACCCCAAACCCCACTGAACCCTACGTAAATCCTGAAGTTTCTGAACTAAACTAAACCGCTCGGTTTCTTCTTGGCCCCAGCAGGAGGCTCCGAAGCCCTAGAAAACCACCGCACATGATCTCCATCTCTAAAAGGCTCCCACCTTAAAGGGCCCCGAAGCAAGGGCCAGGGTCCCTGGCCCCGTTGTTTCAAGAAGACCCCGCTTAGTTCGGGGGACCCCCAAAAAGCCCCGGCCTGGCAGCAGGGATGTTGCCCGAGGGGTTCTGCTTCGTCCACGTCCAGGACCTAAGAGCAAACATAAAGAGAGGAGAAGATTAGGGTGTAGGGTTTAGGGTTTAGGGGAGGAGAAGATTAGGGTTTAGGGTTTAGGAGGAGAGGACCATGCAAGGAAGACAAGAACGAGTAGTGGACCCCACAGTAACCGAGGAGGAAACCTGATAGCAGGCATTTAACCCTGTACTAACCGTTTAGCAACCTTGTATCATACGGATAGTTCTCTGCATTCGGGCCCCCTTTTAAGGCGCTTTTCATGAGGGTGGCCGTACTACTTTTAAGAATCTAAAAACGGACCCAAATTTAGAGAACTATCCTTATAGTACCCTTACAGAAACCCTATAGAAGCCCAAAAAGCACCCTTGAAGGAACCCTGAAAAGGGACCCCTAATTTAGAGAACTACCGAACCCATACGTCTTCCAGGTCGGGGGGGCCTTACGGCTCTGGGTTCTCCGGTTGATGATAAAAATCCATAGGGCTCCTTTAAAGGGATCTATAGGGATACCTTTAAGAGGCTCCTTTAAGGGATCTATAGGGTTTTAGGGTTTAGGGTTTAGGATTGATGATATAAATCCCGCATTACCTTAAGGACCCTAATATATGGGAATTATGGTATATTCCTTATTATGGGTAATGCAGGATTTATATCATCAACCGTCACATTCAAGCTTACCGGGCTCTGGGCTCAGGCTTTGGAATTTGGAACTTAAGGTTTGTTTTAAGGAGCTTAGGGTTTTTTTAAGGTTTAGTCCATTGCGGCGTCAGCCCAGTGGCCAAGCACTTCGAGGATCGGTCTCAGGCCTCTACGAAAGCGGAAAACAAACCGCCCAAGTACCCTCAGCAATGAAAACTCGGTAGTCGATTCAGGTGCAGTCTCTCAGACAATGTCACCCGAATGTAACTGACCTAAGTTGCAATAAGAATAATTGGGATAGGGTTTGGGGGTGTATCTTATACTATACTTTTAATTATTAATTAAGAGCCCCAAAAAAGTATTGGTATCTTTTAGGCCCCTATGTCACCTATTTACTACCTGTACCTCCCACGAAACCTAAACCCATTGCTTAGCCCTACGAGCCCAACTATCGAAGAATCCGAGGTCTGAGACTGCAACGTCACGTCCAGGACGACGGCATCGTTGTAAACCCTGCCAATGCCCTGCTCAATGGTGAGCTCGATGCCCCCAAACACGCACAGGCAGCTATCGTCCTGGCAAGCTTCGTGGTCAGGTTCATATGCAAACGCATCCGCAGTAGTAAATCCAAGATCCATCGCAGGTAGCCGGAGCACATGGATTTACAGGAGTATCCATTCAGCTTGACAAGAGATATGCATATTGTGGCTCATACAAGCCACGTTTCTGCTTGCATGTGATGATGATGATGATGATGATTATGAACGTTCACATTCTGCCTTTGGTGGGTGGCCCCGCGTCTAATGGTGCACACATCATATCAGAACTGCATGCAGACCTTTCGCGCATTTCGCTTCAACTGTGCAATCACTACTTGTGCTGTCTCTGTCCTACTCATGCTGCTATCAGCTATCAGGTTGGCCAGCAGAAGCCGAATTGGTTTCTCATGTCTTGGCCCGTTGGCCGGTGTATGTCAGTAGTGTGGCCACTTCCGTGGTTTACCTGCAATCCTCAGCCTGAAAGATGTTCGTGTTCTTGCTGCCTTTAAAGTCTCCATGCTGTTGTGGATCTTTTATGTATCTTCTTGAGCTGTGTGAGAGATTTATTTGTCCAAGTGGGGCATGATGTTTCTTCGTGTTCTGATAATTCGCACAGTACGTGTCGGTCTTTCTGTGTGTGTTTTATATGAGCTGCGGATTAACTCTACTTGCCACTACTTCAAACTGGGCTCCTGACCCTAGTCTAATTATCAAGGCCCCTATAGTACATGCTATACCTTGGGTACGGCCCCCACTCAGCAATAGTTGAATAAGATTCATAATGCAGATATAGTAGGACCTTAATAGTAGCCCTATTATAGACTCCTACTGTGTGGGGGCCGTACCTAAGCTATACCCCCCAAACCTTCAGACATGACCCGCCGACTTCCGTCCTGCACTGCGCACGCAGAGTGACCTTGCCGCTGCCGAGGCGGCGTGCCAGAGCAAGGAGGACATCGCCACTTTCCCTGGCACGTCTCGCGAAATATTTCCCTAAACCCCTAAACCCTACACCCTAAGCCCTAAACCCTAATACCCTAAACCCTAATACCCTAAACCCATAAACCCTAAGCCCTAAACCCTATTAATACCATAAAGTCTGAAGCCATATTTGCTGCTAGCGTTACAGGCCTGGAGATCTGAAGGCTTGGGGTGTAGCAATTACTATAGGGGTCTGAATGTTTAGACTATAGAGTTCATTATACTCAAAAACGCTATTGGTGATGATTTAGGCCCCTATATTAGGGGTTGAGGGTCTATGAACCACCGTCATCCTCACCATCATGAATATTCACAGCATTATCGCTGCTGGCGGCCGTTCATCGTCGCCGAAATCACAACGACAGCAACAAACGCAACAGCAACAACAACAACAACAAGAAAACCAAACCAACTACCAACGGAAAAATAGGTTGATCAAGATTGCGAGTCGAACAAGAGCGGAAGGCAGTTTGAAGAGCTTCTGCTGCACTGGAGCCGCACTGAGCCGTGTCTCCACGAAACCACACCCGGGCTTCGTTAGGGCTTCGTCACTTTATGCAACCCGGGGTTCAAACTTTCAGGGTTTAGCATGGCCCAGCACAAGCCCCGAAGCGCCCGAATTCGAAGCGCATTCCCAACATGTGACTACACATGTATTTGGGCACGGCGGTCACAGAGGCCTGGCGAAAAGACCCTAAACTCTACATTGTGAAAGCTTAATATGGGCGTCGGCATTCTCAGTAGTGGTATCTCAATATTGGCGTCGGCATTCTCTGGGGTGGTTTCCCCCTTATCGTCCCGATCTTGCAATACAGGGCCCTGCATGAAACTTAATTTGAAACACATTAAGGGCTCAGGAAATCCTGTAACAACGTGAGTAAGAACATAGTCACTAGGGTTGCGCTGCGGTTATGCTTCCAGTCCCGGTCGATTGGTGCCTAGGCAAAGTCGCAGACCCTTAACGCCAAAAGCTCAAGCCGGAACCCTAAACACCCTAAGGCAAACCCGGACCCTGGTTTCTAAACCCCTAAACCCTGAACTCTAAACCCCTGAACCCTAAACCCTAAACCCTGAACCCTGAACCCTAAAACCCTAAACCCCTAATTCCTAAACCCTACACCCTGAACCCTAAACCCTGAACCCTAAAACCCTAAACCCCTAATTCCTAAACCCTGAACCCTAAACCCCTAAATCCTAAACCCCTAAATCCTAAACCCTAAACCCTCAACCCCTAAACCCTAAACCCTAAACCCCCAAAGCCCTAAAACCCTTAAAACCCCAAACCCTAAGACCCCAAATGCCTGGGCAAAGTCGTAGACCATGAGGCCCGGGAGCTGGTCGAAGCTGGGCCCACAGCCGCCGAAGACCAGCATGCTATTGCCCACCTGAAACTTTCCGAAAACTAGAGGTACCTTTAAAGGGATCTAGACGGGTTCCTTAAAGGGATCTATAAGGGTTCTATGAAGGGCTTAGGGTTTACCTATAAGGGTTCCTTTAAAGGGTTACTAGAAGGGTTTCTTCAAAGGGCTGTATAGGGGTTTACAGTTTCCGAAAATTAGGGGGTACCTTTAAAGGGTTAAGGGTATTATAGGGTTCCTTAAAGGGATCTATAAAAGGGTTTAGGGTTTGGAGTTTCCGAAGATTGGGGGGTTCCTTTAAAGGTATATGGGGTTCCTTAAAGGGATCTGTACAGGGTTTAGGGTTTGGAGCTTCCGGAAATTAGGGGGTTCCTTTAAAGGGTTACTAGAAGGGTTTCTTGAAAGGGCTCTATAAAAAGGGACCATAATTTTGACAACCACCCATATAGAAGTTTCTGAAAATTAGGGGGTACCTTTAAAGGGTTAAGAGTACTGTAAGGGTTCCTTTAAAGGGATCCTTATAAAGGGTTCCTTACAGGAGATCTATAAAGGGTTTAGGGTTTGGAGTTTCCGAAAATTAGGGGGGCCTTTGAAGGGTTACTATAAGGGTACTACAAGGGTTTCTTTAAAGGGCTCTATAGGGGTTGAGAGTTTCCGAAAATTCGGGGCCACCTTATTTTGGGTCCTTATAATAAGGATCCTACTACTTAGGGCAGTACTTGGAGGGTCGGGGGACTTAGTAAGTAGGTAGCAAGTAGACTTATAAGTGCCCTAAAAGGGACCCTAATTGGGGTTATGGTACTTATAAGTCCCTAAAATAACCAGTTACTAAGTCCCCCGACCCTCCACGTATATTAGGGTCCCCTATTTTCTGAAACTCCCACCTTGGAGCAGAAACCCTAAAGGGCTTAGGATTTAGGGTTTGGGATCCCTAAACCCTAAATCCTAAGGGATCCTTCAAAGGAATCCTTGGGGGGATGCTCTAAAGGGATCCTTTAAGGAATCCTTCCTTGGCAGGTTTAGCCTTTAGAGGGCCTTTAGGGTTCAGGTTCAGGATTTAGGATCCTCATTCGGTAATCATCCGGGCAGCACGCAGAGTCGCAGTATGCTAAGGGCTGTAGGAACCCTTAAATGTCCTAAACCCTAAGCCCTCAACTTCCAGCCCTAAACTCTAAATCCTAAGCCCTACACCAGAAGGCCCTAAGGATGGCGGTGGCGGGGATTGTCATGTTAGCCGACTCTGAGTGTCCCACCACCGTAGCCGTGTGGCAGTAGCAAGACTGCGGCCTCGGCAAAGGGGACAGGGATTAACAAAATGAGGGGGTCACGACTGAGACAGGGTGTGTTGGAGGATACTATAGTATAATTAGTAAAATACGTTAAGGACTATAAAGGGGGTATTCTTTGTAAGGATATTTGGCCCCGACCCCTGGTCTTAGGTGACCTCTGTGTGACTCTCATACTTGATGATGTGACACACAGGCAGGTAAAGACAAAGACAGCCTTTGTGAATCAGAGACCAGGAGTCGCAGCAGCTGCAGCGACAAAATGCCCCTTCTCTAAACCCCTAAACTCTAAACCCTAAACCCCTAAACCGAAAACCCTCGGTGCGCGAACAGCTGCGCAGTTATTGCATGCCTATGCTCCCCAACATTCCTGGGGCCTCCTCCTGTGGTTTCGGGCTGGGATAGTAGGCAGTAGGCCCATCAGAAGACATACCCCAAACCCTAAACCCCAAACCTTCAACCCCAAACCTGAAACCCTAAACCTTACACCCTAAACCCGACACCTCGTACCTTCAAGGGATCTATACTTGGAGGTTCATGGGTAGGTATAAGTGGGGTTTTAAGTCCCCCAATATGGGATATAAGTATAGTTGTCCTACTTATATCCCTACTTAAAACTACCCATGAACCGCCAAGTATAGGGTGTATAGTTACCCTACTTTTCACCCTACTTATAACTACCCATGAACCTCCAAGTATAGGGTCTAGGGCTCCTTTAAGGGTGCCTTTAAGGGTTGCTTTAAGGGTTGCTTTAAGGGTACCTTTAAGGGTTCCTTTAAGGCTCCCTTTAAGGGTTCCTTTAAGGGTGCATTTAAGGGTTGCTTTAAGGGTGCCTTTAAGGGGCGACCCCTGGCTTTCCTCACCGAGGCCGCGGGCGGCTTCGCCCCCGCCCCGAGGCCATAGAGCTGCCGTAGCTCCATACCTTAGTGGGTTTGGGGTTTAGGGTTTTGGTTTAGGGTTTAAGGGTTTTGGTTTACGGTTTAGGGGTTTTGGTTTAGGGTTTAGGGGTTTTTGTTTAGGGTTTAGGGTTTAGTAGGGAATGGAAGAATGGGGTCTAGAAGGGTTACTATAAGGGATCTATAAGGGTACTGTAATATAGGGGCCTTAGTAATCCTATACCTTACCGTAACCCTTGGTTCGTAGGGAATGGAAGAATGGTAGTAAGAGTAAGTTATACGTGTACCCCATTCCTCCATTCCCTACTAACCAAAGGTAAGTAGTGGGTCGTGTCAAGGAGTCTGCTTTTTAAGTTACCTGAAGGGACTTAGTTGAAGATACCATAATAATCAGGAAACCATATTAACTAGTTAATGCTTTAGTGGGTCTTGTTAAGGAGTCTTATTTTAGGTTTCCTGAAGGGACTTAGTTTGAGTCTCATTTGAGTTACCTGGAGGGATTTGATTTAAGATCAGGAAACCATATTAACTATTTACTATAGATCCCCAATATGGTAACTTAATTTTCAATCCCTTAACAAGAATCCAGCCTCAGTCCAAAAAAAGCGCCAGCGAAGTTTGTTAGGATTCCTTTAAGGGTACCTACGGAAGCTCCGTAGGGCTCCGTTAAGGGTTCCTATAAGGCTCATTCCAATAAGGGTTTTCTATTCGGGTTTAGGATTTAGCGTTTAGGGTTCAGGGGTTACGGTTTAGGAGTAACATGTAAACGGGGTGTCATATAAGATAGCCAGAGAACATTGAGCAACTAGACGCGAAGCTATGGGCATAATGCATAGCTAGTGAAAGCCAAGTGCAAAGGTAGGAAACATTAGGAAACTATGACCCGTTTAAACAGTATATGTTGTCGAGTTATGCAATAATACAGTGGCAAGCATATGTTTTGCTAGCATAGCAAAGCACTGCTGCAAGATCAGCGACGAAGGGGACTCTAACGGCATTGCGAAAGAAGGCCAGACCGAAGACGGAATTCAGCCGAAATCCGCCAGTAGATCAACCCAAACCCTTTAAACCCTGCCCCACAAGAACCCTAACCCTCGAACTACCGATATTGCAAAGTCCCAAGAATCGAAGCGATGGCACTAATATGGGGCCTAAATAGGATAGATCCCTTATAGACCCCTTTAAAGGATTCCCCTTTAAAGGAACCCTATTCTCATTACTAAGGCCCCCAAAAGTACCGGACCTGCCGGGGCTCTGGCTCTCCAAATCCAATACGTGAAACTCATCAGAACCCAAAGCCTGCTTGCAGGTTCAAGGGCAGTTCCTTTAAGGGTCCCTTTAAAGGGATCTAGAGGGATTCTCTAGGGTTTAGGGCCTACTTGGAGGTTCAGGGCTAGTTATAAGTAACTGCCCATGAACCTCCAAGTGCTGCATGGCTTGCATCTGATTAGTGTCTTCAGCAATAGCGATTACTGCTATCATTATTATTGTTACTATGACTACGATCACCATTATTATTGCAATAGCGATCACTACTATCACTATTACTATGACTATAACCATTTTACTGTTGTTGCTATGACTAGTAGTACATTTGGTAGCGTTATCAAGTATATTATGGGTGGTTGTCAAAATTAGGGTCCCTTTTTGGGGTCTTTAATATAGCACGGCACCTTGTATTTAGGGTACCCCCCAAAAAGGGACCCCCCATATTGACAACCACCCTTATGATGATTGTTACTGTTGTTTCAGTGCCGAGGGTGTTGAGGGCTCCCAAGGACTCATTGGGGCTTAGGGCTTCTAGGTTTCGTTGCTTATACGAATGATCGAAATCCTGCATTGCCTTAAGGACCCTAGACTATGGAAATTCTGGTAGATTGTTTTTATTATGGGTAATGTCGGATTTATATCATCATCCGTGGGAACTGAGGCTTCTTGGCTTTACACGGCTTAATGGATTCAGGGTTTTGGGCTTGAATATGGCTTTTAGGGTTTGAGGTTTCAGGGCTGAGGGATTCGCGGGTTTACTGCAGATCTTAACTGGGTTCTTGTTAACGGTTCAAATTTAATTACCACAATAGGATCTGTAGCAAATAAAAAGGTTTCCTTCTTATGATAACAACTAGGTAGCTCAACAAGAACCCAGTTAAGGCGCGTCGAGTTCCAGGGGTCTTTTCGCCTTGAGGACTCGGGCTCTATGGCGGTAAGGTTTCAGGATTCCAGGACCCTAAACCCGAACCCCGAGCTCAGCTTAGTCTTCAGGTGCTATTGGGATTTAGGATGTTGGGGTTTCGCCTTCTGGGGATTGAAATCTGATGTAAGTGGTTCTTCCTTTTTGGGGCAGCGAGGAGGGGGGGGGGGGGGCAATGGGAATTGAAGGGCTCCTAGCTAAAGTAGGGCAACAGGGCTTTGGGTGCATGTTCTGCTATAGATACCTTGAGTACTAGGGGGGTTGGCATTACACTATTGGGCAAGCTGTGAGGTAGGGTGGACCTGCACATGTGGGCAGGCTTTTCTCACAACTGGGATGGCAATGTTCAAGAATTGCAGGGTTTAGGGTTGGGGGTGTACTTGGAGGTTCATGAGTAGTAGGGTAATTATACTTATAACCCATATTAGGGGACTTATAACCCCACTTATAGCTGCCCATGAACCTCGAAGTAGGGCTTGCAGGGTAGTTCAAGGTTCATGGCCGAGGCTGCGCCAGAAACTCACAGCCTGGCCTCTGAAATTCCATATGCGCCGCGCGCATCGCCCTGCGAGGGAATGCAGTCTGTGCTGAATTTAGCAAGTCTGAACCGTAAGCTTGAAACTCCTAGACCTCAAGGTGTTGGCTGTACGTACGATTGAGAAACTCTCCACAAATTTGTCATGGTGGGTAAGACTTCTCTCAATCAGGCACCCGGACCGAAGCAAAGAAGAACTTCGGAGGGAGATGGCATGGCATTGCGGATTCGGGAAGAGGCGCAAAGTCGGTGCAAGTGCTCGTGGGCCCTTCGTTTCTCTCTTGTCTTCCCTCCGCCCGTCTAGGAGAAGCTGGTGTAAAAACCCTAGGCTCTAGGCTCTAAACCATCCCTAAACCCTAAGACCCTACTTGGAGGGTCGGGGGACTTAGTAACTGCTTACTTTAGGGACTTATAAGTACCATAACCCCGATTAGGGTCCCTTTTAGGGTACTTATAAGTCTGCTTACTACCTACTTACTAAGTCCCCCGACCCTCCAAGTAGGGTCTAAACCCTAAAGCCCTAAGCCCTAAACCAGCCCGAAATCCTAAGACCCTCAGACCTAAACCCTAAAACCCTAAGCCCTCAACTCTTAACATGGAAATTCTTTATCCTGCATGCCGGCTCTAGGACGAGCCTGCCCCAGCGGCTCGCCCCCATCGGAGAAGCCTCGCCCAAGAGCTTCTACTTGGAGGATCATGGGACTTATTAAGTAAGGTTATAAGTACCTTAATTGGGGTTATAAGTATAGTTACCCTACTTATAACCCTAGTTACTAAGTCCCATGATCCTTTAAGTAGTGAAAGATTAACAGCCATTGCTCCCACTACCTCTGGTGTCACTCTTGTTGCGTATCCCTCAGAACTTGTAGCTGCTCTTGTGCTCTGTTCGGCCGGTGCTATAGCTCCACCTCCAGACATTGAAAAATGTGGGCTATGAATTTAGGGGTTTGGCGTAGTTCTGACAGCTGTTTTCAAGCCTTGGTCATTCCACCAGCGAGGCCCTACATTTCCAACCAGCATGCACAACCTGAATCTTTAACACTACCGGTAGTACTGGCAGTAGACAAAAACATCAACGATACGCACAAGCCGCCTGAAAACTGAGAGCAAGGCTACTCAATAAGGGTGGTCATATCAAACATCGTAATGCTAGATACCGTCATGGAAACCGTAAATGAAAATGACGATAAGACTTATAAAGGTAACAGTAACAGTCATCATTACTTTTACTCTGATTGTTGTTTCTTTAATAGCAATAAGCTTAGATTCATTTACAGCAAGAACAGTAACAATACAGTTGCAGGGGTAATGATACAAGAGCAATACTTGTTAGTAATATGAATACGACGCAGACAAAAAATGAAGGCCTCCGAAGATGTAGAGCTTGGAGTTGTGCGACACCATGGTGTGCCAGATACCGGCCTCTCGGTATGCCCAGTTCGACCGCGTAGGGTTTGGGCTTTAGAGTTTCGGGTTGAGGGCCAAACAGTAGATCAACACACCTCTAAACACTCCGGCAAAAAGAGGCATACTCAGCGAAAGGTCCTACGAGGATTGCAGGGCAATTCTCGAATCGCCGCAGCAGCTTGCCTCACGATCCAGCTGCCGCACCTGGCAGTGGTACAAAGGTCTTGTAACTGTAGCACTTAGAGCTGAATCACAAACTCCTAAAGTCTTAACCTCCGCACCAGACAACATGCCAAAAATGCCATGGCTGACCGATATGGGAGTTTCCGAAAATAGGGCACCCTTATGTAGTAACTACCCAAATAGTAGGATCCTCATTATAAGGACCCCGAATAAGGTATCCCTAGTTTTCGGTAACTCCCATATGGTCCTAAACCCTTACACGAAATCAAGGCAGAGTGGAGGTGTGGCCTCGTCACTCAAGGTCATGCCTTTCTTCTGCTTCCCCCGCCGCTTCTTCGACTTGTCCTTGGCAGGGTAGTTATAAGTAGGGTTTATAAGTAGGGTAACTATACTTATAACCCATATAAGGGGACTTATAACCCCACTTATAACTACCCATGAACCCAACTAAGAGCAGAATCTCAGCTGCGAACTCGGCTGACACATTGGATCTTTCCAATGTCGGCCCAAGCCATGCAGCTTCGACTTGACCGCGCCTTTCGACGTGCTCACGTTTAGGGTTTAGGGGTTTAGGGGTTTAGAGGTTAGGGTTTAGGGTGGTCGTCGTAATCGGTAGCAGGGGCAGGAGGTGGCAGCAGTGGTCGTAGCAGCAGCAGCAGCAGCAGTAGTAAGAGCAAGTATACCGACAGGTAGGCAGCAGAAGTGGAATTTGACAGTGAACCCTCCACCACTACCAGTTAATATGCAACGCAATAGTGACTCGTCATGCTCAGCAACAACATCATGGCCGTTTAGACTGCCACCGTCGTACTGGCCACAGCCCTGACCACCAACAACGGATTGATAGCAATCACAGCACCCGCACAAAGGTTAATGACAGTTTCGAACGCAGCTAGTGAAAACGGTAACCATCTACCTGTGACATGATTGATACGGGCGCAACAGAAGAAGCACAGGCAAAAGATTGAGAAGCACAAGGATAGCACCGTACGTCACAGTAACAACTAAAGTAACCATAATTATATCAACATCAAGAAAGGGCACCAGCAGCAAAAGAGCAGCCAGCTACCGCAACCACGACGACAACGACAGCAGCAGCAGCAGCAGCAGCCTCTGCAGTAGCAATGGCGGCATCAGCCTCTGACGGAGATGAAGATCTGTCCATGTTGGTACACAAAGCAGCAACAATGTTGACCCTTCGAGTCTCGGAGTCATCTTCTTTCTGCATAGCCTCTTCACCGATTCCGCTGAGCTTTCGCCGGCTTCTACAGATTATCATCTCAACCCTGAGCCCCAAACCCTTCTTTAGGTCCTTGCAGGCTTTGGCCGCAGAACCCCCAACCCCACGATCATAACGGGTGTGACAAGGGTATGACAAAGGCACGAGGAAGTGTACTATCGAAAATGGAAGCACAAGGCTGCTTTCCGTACTACATGCGTGTCAAGGGCACTGAAAATTGTAAAGGGTAGCCAGAAGAGTTTAGATTGGAATCTGAAGGGTATTATTAAATTTTTACAACAATTTAATAAAGGTACTATTTTCGTTATCATTACGTATTCCGTGAGATTTTTATGATTACATACCAGAGTACTAAGGCCGGCCTCGGAACGCTGGCTCTCCAGAACCTGGCATAGGACGCCAGGCAAGATCTCGCGTTGCGGGCTCCTTAATAAGTTGGTTTAGGGTTTAGGGTGTCTTTAGAACAGTGCTTTTCAAGCTGTTGCAAAAAGTATGTTTATCGGCCTCTTATATTGCTCAGGGACTTTATTGGCCAAGCCCGAAAGGCCCTGAAACGTGAACCCTGGGTGTATAGAGCTGCCAACTCTTCCGAAAGCTCCCCCTGCCCTGCCTGGACGGCTTCCAGCAACTTCCGCACCTCGAGGCCAAAGGAAAGTGCCAAGGTTTTGGGGTTTTGGGCTCGGGGATTTTGGGTTTCAGGTGTAGGGATTGGGGCAGGGGTTTAGGAATTTGGGCTTTAGGATTTGGGGTTTGAGCTTCAGGGATTCGTACCGGCATAAGTGTCGCGGTTGTTCTTGTTGAAGTCATCAGGGCAGATCGGAAGCCTCAGCCAGCTGTCCAGCGACGCTGTGTGGTAGGTCATGCGGGGTGAGAAAATGACTTTAATCTGATTCTTGCTGTATCCAGATATTCCTCGCAGTAGACTATCTTAGTTGTTCTCATGGCATTTGAACGGACTTTGCTCTTAGTCACTCCTGAAACCCCAGACCCCCCAAACCCTAGACCCTGAAAACCTAACCCAAAACCGCCTTAGACCCTAAACCCTCCACCTTAAAGCTCTACTATAGTTACCCGTAAAGTAAGCCTTTCACTAGGCCTTATAGTAGCCCCCATCCTGCTCCCTACACCCCAAAACCGTACCAGCCCCGCCAACCCAGGGGATCCTACTGACTACCCAGCCAAAGACTCCAATGTCCCTTAACTAAGGAATATATACCCTAAGTTATAGAAGGAACCCTAATATGACTTAAGGTACCTTCCTTCATTACTTGGAGGGTCGGGGGACTTAGTAACTGGTTATCTTACGTACCTATAAGTACCATAACCCCAATTAGGGACCCCAATTAGGGACCCCTTTTAGGGCACTTATAAGTCTACTTACTACCTACTTACTAAGTCCCCTGACCCTCCAAGTAAGGGATGTGGGAGTTTCCGAAAATAGGGGACCCTGATTTAGTACCCCAAATAGTAGGATCCTTATTCTAAGGAGGACCCCAAAGTAAGGTACCCCTAATTTTCGGAAGCTCCAAACCCTAAACCCTTTATAGAACCCTTATAGATCCCTTTAAGAAACCCTAAACCCTTTATAGAACCCTTATAGATCCCTTTAACCCTAAACCCATCGGGAACTCCCATGTTGGAGTCTCTCGCAACCCCATGGCCTGGTCGTTGGAGGGCTCCAGTTCCAGGCAGTTCTGCAGGCAGCGCGCCGCCTTGGGGTGAAGCTTAGGATTGTGGGTTGTGGCTTTAGGGGGGTGCTGGGTTTTAGGATTGTGGGTTGTGGCTTTAGGGTGCTGGGTTTTAGGTTTAGGGCTGTGGGCTTGGTTTTTTTTTTTTTTTTTTTTTTGGGGGGGGGGTTGAGGTTTAGGGTCTGGGGTTTTGGGTAAAGGGCGGAAGCTTAGGGCTTTGGGCCTCTTCTTTCGGGTTGAGGCTTAGCTTCTGTTTTCGGGTTCAGGGCCTTGGCTGCTTGTTGTGGCTTACTGGTGAGGCGTTTTAGGGTTTAGCACCGATGGAGAGACCGATGGATAGATGGATGGATAGATTCATCGACAGATGGCTGGATACCCCTATCTAGTAGGGGTGCAGCAGTTACGTGGGTTACGGGGTTGAGGCTGCGGGCTTTGGGTCCAGAGCTTTTCGGATTAAGGGTCAGGATTTCAGGGTTTAGGGTACAGCTCAGGCATCCTGCAGCACACACGTCTCGCCGCCTCCCAGAAGTTGCGGAGGTAGATGTGCGCAGCGGCCAGCCTGCTTGCAATGATACTGTTGATGATATAAATCCTGCATTACCCACAATAAGGAATATACCATAACTCCCATAGTCTAGGGTCCTTAAGGTAATGCAGGATTTATATCATCAACCGTACCCTTGTTTTCGGGCCTGGGGTGTAGCTTGTCGCCTTCAGAGCACACAGATTTGGTTAGAGGTCGGAAGGGAAGACAATCTGAAGGACAGACGCAGACACCAGACTGAACCCTAAATGCAGTGGAAGAATTCTAAGAACCCATGGCATAGCACCTGGAAGATTCTAAAAAATACAGACACCATCTGCTTTCGCACAGAGAGCTCTCGTCTTCTAGCCCGGCAAGACCCTACATCCCCAAAATTCCCAAGCTTCATGGGCGTCCAAGTGCTTCGGCCCCTCAAACATCCAAACTCCGAAGGCTAAACACAGTGGCTGCTTGAAAGCATAAGAGGGTTGTTTACAACAGAAGAGGGTGGCGACAAACCCTGATCTGTTTGCAAAAATCCCTAAACCCTAAACCCCAAAACCCTAAACCCCTTGAGCCTACCCTAAACCCTAAGCCCCTAAGCCCTCTTCTCTCAAAAGAAGAAGTTTCTCCGCCCTCTCCGCCTGTGCAGCGCCTTTACGGTCAACTGCCTGGGCCGAAATGCCAACCCTTAACTGGAACTCTTCTTCCACCCTAAACCCTAAACCCTAAATCCTAAATCCTAAACCCCTAAGCCCTAAACCCAGAACCGGGCCCCATAAAAAGCTCAAAAAATTGCAGATAGAGCAGCTATGTCAGGCCAAACAACTTGAAGTTCTCCCATTGGCTATGTATAGTAGAAGCCCAAAGGTTGGAAACCCAATAGCCTCAATCCTTAAGGGTAATGTATAGGGAATCCCAACGCTAATTGTCCTTAATCCGGTTTCCAACTTTTTGGGGTTTACTATAAGCCTAAGCGGGTGACGAGAGCTTGGGTCTTCTGGAGTTTGGTTGCTACTCTTCGTGATAGAGGTTGCGCAGGTACCGGCCAGGTAAAAGTATTGATTTTTGAAGCCCAACCATAGGGTGCAGAGTAGACAGTATCATAATAAAAAAGGGCTGGTACTTTGGTAGGAAACACCAAATGCAGTGCGATGGTACTGACGATCGCACCAGCAGCCAAAACCAGGTGGAAGCATTGGTCGCAAGGACCCTAAAATCAAACGGAGCATCATGGCATGCATCATCGCATCACTTGTGAGACTCATGAGCTGTAATCAAGTACCGGTACGAAGCTGTCAAGTGAAGGTAACATAGAGAACCTGATGTGATGATCGCAACTGCAGAGCAGCACAAGTAGGCCATGAAGCGATGGCAGAAAGGCTGCAACTAGATAAAACAACGTTGCAAACGCGCGGTAGCTCGCACACAGGGTGTCACAGTTCCCGCCATCACAAAATGCCTGCAGCCTGCAGCAAACGTGCGGTCCTGAAGCTTAAGTTACCACAATATGGGGATCTATAGTAAATTAGATGGTTCTTTATCATGGTAACTTGAACCAGATCCCTAAACTTAACAACAACCCGGCAACAGCGGCAGCCAGGTCATAAGTTCTAAGTTATACCTTCGACAACACGTGGTGCAAACAAGCGACCCATCAATCCATCTATACATACCAGATATATTTATTCTACAGTTATGTATATGTAATCCATTTATTCTCTTTTTCATCTCGTGCGAACCGATGCGTGTTGAGGTCGGCAAGTACCCTTGCCTTCTACATGAAAGCTCTCCACCCCCTGCACGTTTTCAATCCGCGGAATCCTCCATCCTAAACCTTGAACCCGTAAGGTCCTAAGACCCAAACTCTAAGCTCTCAAAGTCCTAACCCCTGAGCACCCAAAGCCCTAGAACCTACTTGGAGGTTCATGGGTTGCTATAGTTGGGATTCTAAGTCCCCCTAACATGGTTTTTACTACAGTTATCCTACTTATAACCCCACTTATAACTACCCCATGAACCTCCAAAAACACCAACCTTCAAGCACTATACCGGTCACTGGGGCTTCCGCATGGATGGCATGAGCACAAGCGCAGAGCGGCACTCGCTGACTGCGTCCCCGTACCTGTGCAAGGCTGCAGACGGAAGAAGACAGGCGCCAAGTCCTACGGTTGATGATATAAATCCTGCATTACCTTAAAGACCTTAGACTATGGATATTAGGGTATATTCATGCATATTCCTGATTGTGGGTAATGTAGGATTTATATCATCAACAGTAATGACCTAATGTGGGCTGACACATCCGACCTCCTCGTATATAGTCTAACTCTCGATATCTGTGTCAATGCATACGTATACGAGAAAACAATATGTATGTATGACATGAACCTGAATACGCCCCAATTGGGGACTGGAGCGGCGAGGGGATTCGTTCCAGAGCGCACATAGCTTGAAAAGGTCCTGCAAAGAAGCTCTAGAGATAGCTGGTGCGAGCAGCAACGACACCTATACAGAATTCGTGGGATGGCGTTCGTGCCAGTCACAGCTAGGTCCCAGCATTATCACTCGGCGGCTCTGCCTTTTCAAGTCCAGTTTGCAACAGAATCTTGAATGTGAGATTTAGAGTTTAGGGTTTAGGGTTAACCCTAAACCCTAAACCCATTTAAGCTCCGAAGCCCCCTTGCTGCCTAAATCTCATCAGCTGCCCTGAACCCTGCAACCCCAAACTCTAAACCCCAAACCCCATAGCCCCCTAAACTCCAAACCTTTCCTGAACCCTCAAACCCCCCTGAAGACTAAAACTCTATAATCCCCTGAACCCTAAAACTTGCCCTGGAACCCGAAACCCCCTTTAAACCCCTAAAACTCCGTAAGCCCCGGAACCCTAAAACTAAAACCCCTAAACCCCAAAACTCAGCACTCGCCCAGGAGCCCGAAAGCCTGCAATCCCCTACCAGAGCCTGTGAAGATGAAGGCACGCCAGAGCACAGTTGCCTTGGCACCCAGAGACTCCAATATTTCTTCATCAAGGAATACCTGGAGTTAAGGCTCCTTTGAGGGATCTATAGGGGATCTATAGGGTTTAGAGTTTGGTGGGTTCTAATGTCCCTAAATCAAGGAATATACCTTGAGTTATAGTAGGATCCCTAACATGATTTAAGCTATATTCCTAGTCTCTGGGTATGTTGCGGCGGGCTGGAAGCCATTGTAAATACCTGGACCCGAATGAACCTGCATGTTTGGGGTTGCTTAGTATGATTTCCTTATATGAGTCCTTAAAGAAGTAGGTTATTTGGGGTTAAGATAGCTGCTGTTGTGGCGTGTGTACGGCAGTAGATGTTTATCTTCACTCGCCGCAACAGTCCTCTCTCATAGTTTTAGTACAGGTAGATAGATAGACCGATACATATACTTGCGTACTTATATCCACAGTTAACATATAATGTGTGAAAAGAAACGTATATACACATATATAGAAAAAAACAAGACAGAACATGTTGCACTACACATCATACTGAGATGTGCAAGTAGTTTCGTTCAAAATGTACCATAAACTTCTACATGACAGCCTTCTGCTTCCGCGTTTCTAGCGACCGTTGGGTGCAGCGCTGAAAGTTTGAGTCCAAATTCAAGATACCCTGGGGTTATATAGCGTGCCAGGATGTCTGAATCAGGCTCCTGCAATCGGGCGTTAAGAGCATGGGGCTGATGACTACAGACGTGTAACTATAATGGTGAGCCTGGGAAGATTATTCTGAGGCTGGGGCAGTGGTAGCTCGCCAGCTGCTCCGTTTGGCCTTGTTGCGCGAAAGGAAAGCAGCCGGGTTTCGGGATTTCGACACGTATCAATAGAAGTCCTGGGGTAGTCTTCGGTGATGCACTATTCGTTCGGTCGTTCATTTGACCGTTTGGCATCCTCGTCATTGATGGTTCTTGCCACACAATCTGAATTCTGAAATGGCATGCAGAAGCGTGTACTGTAGGTTTACTACAGGCTTATTTATAAGGGCGCTTCAAGCCAAAGTGTAATAGGTAATTATACTAAAGTGTAATAGGCAGTTATACTAGGTGTCAATTTCGACAGTCCCCAAAATTGTTTACAACTAGGGCTTTGAATTAAATAATAAGGGAAATTAAAGGTTGTCCCACATCGATACCCAGTATAAGGGCCTTGTAAGGTGTCACTGTAACTTAAACTCTAAACCCCAAACCCAGAGACTACAATATCCCTTAATTAAGGAATATACCTAAAATTTGCAGTAGGATCCCTAATATGATTTAAGGTATATTCCTTAATTAAGGGATATTTGGGTCTCTGGGAACGCTGGTTACTCTGAGAAGCACCCTTGTCCTTTTAGAAATAATAGACAGAGCCCTATACTTATATCCCTTAGTAGGAATTATTTAAGAAGGTCTACTAGCCGGTCTGTCTATTCGTTTGGAGGAACCATGAAAAAGGACAAGGCTGCTGAAACTCTAAACCCTATAGATCCCTTAAAGGCCCCCTTAAAGATCCTTAAAGGAGCCCTAGGTATTCCTTAATGAAGGGATATTGGAGTCTCTGGGAACGCTGGTGACTCTGAGAAGCCCTTCAGGCCCACACAGGCAGAGCCAGACGGGCAGAGCAAGGCGGCGACCTGACGTGGATCTCTCTCCCGAGGCCCTTTCCGCTCGAGTCTTCGGCGTTGGATTTCTGTCGGATTTAGGGATTACCTTAACCCTGAAAAACCTACCTTTTAGGGTTCCCCCCATTATGATTTCCTTCTACAAGTCCTTAAAAAGGTAGGTTCTTCAGGGTTAAGGTAGGGTTTAGGGTTCAGGGGTTGCAAAGATTTAGGGGTGATGGATTTGGGAAGTTTAGGGATTGGGGCTCCAGGTGTGGAGCATGGCTCCGAGCTAGAATACTCACAACTTGCCATTGCACGCATTTTCTGTTGCAATTCACCGGTGGTATCTGAAAACACTACTACACTCTTCTACCATCCCGGAAATCTAGGACGATGTTTTGATCAAAGCAAGTGCACAGGCTTGCGCCCGTATACAGCCACTGTCAATCGTGCCAAGGTGCCTTAACCATCCACCAGAGTCTCAGGCCCAAGTCCCTACCCTAAGGGTCCAAAGGATCCAAAAATTAGGTATTCGGGTTTAGGGTAGTAGTCACGTAGGTTAGGATTTAGGAGAGTATATGATAGCTGGGCACTTGGACCCTTATAGGGCTACAACCGGACCGTTGGATCCGCTGAGCCTCGAAGCACCAAGCCCTGAAAGCCCCATCTGAAAAGCCAACTTATGCACATTCAAAGATACAGCGCAGTGATCGCAATAATGCGTAATACCGACTTTACGTACCGTTGTGTGACCTCGTAGCAGTGCACGGCGGTGGCGAACTGCTGCTCCTGACGCAAGAGGTTCTAGAGATTCTAGGGTGTTTATGGGAGTTAGGGAATATCCTCATCAAGTGATGTTGCGCAGATCACGGAACCTAATTAATTCCCAAACCCCCAAAACCAACAACAAAAACTTAACAGCTCCAAACCGAAACCTAAGCAAAACCCTAACACCTATGTCCAAAACAGCTCTATACCATAAGCCCCCAAACATGCATCCTAAGAATAGCTGAAAACAGAACCCTTAAAATCACACTCATAGTAAAGAAACACATCTAGTAATCCTTATAGAACCCTAACAAAACCTTTAACCCTGTTGGTGCCCTTGTGGTACTGGCGCCAAGACTGCTAGGGATACGGGGTGCTAGGACCCAGGGCATTAAGATTAAGGATGCCGGCCTTTGCATTTGATAACCTGCTTTAAGCCCGCACCGAGAAAAGCCATCGCAGCTGGAACCGAAGTCGGTGTGGCAGTCAGGACGTCTCGGTTGACTGGATCATAGAAGTGCTCAGCAGAAGACCATCGAAATGGCACGAAACATGACCACCGAAGGCATCTTGCTGCACCTCCTCGAGCCTGACCTGCAAAATACGATCCTCCGACGATTCCCACCAGGCGGCAAAAAATGCTAGGTTCAGGCCAATTGTTCCTGGACTTACGTCGTATCTGACCGTATTCCGCTTGCATCTGCGAGCATGCCAACCAACGCAAGAGTCGGCTTTTGTTCAGATTCTCGAACTTACCAAGCGATGCTCCGTTGGCCAACTCCAGAAGGGTTTGTTTCCCAAGTGCTTCACTACATATCAGTGATTCTGATGAGCAGAACACGAATGCGCGCGGTGCCTTGCGACTGCACGCCCAAAGAAGGAACGACAGAGTCTGCGGTTTTGACCAAGTCAAACAAAACCACAATAGTGAACATGGACGCCGTCCCTGGCGATAGTACGCCCTTTAAGCCTCACGCTGGGATTTCGAGCGTACGGTTCAGGGTCGAAGGCATGATGTTTATTATGGCTTAGGGCACGTGCGGCGGAATGGCTGCACGATGAAGCAACAGCAGATGCAGACCAGTACAGGATTGTACAGACGTCAAACATGATACCACCAAAGTAGACACTGCAGCAATGGAAGCATCTCTTGACATGGCAAGTTCCGAAAGTTCTATCATGATGGTGAAGTGGCACCGTTGTAGCCTGCTCACATGAACACCCCACACACCCGTAAAACCCAGGAGATGGAGGACCACAGAGGAAGCGGAGAAGGACGAGAGCGGCACGCAGAAGGATGACCACAAGGGAGGCAAAGCCCCCTTGAGGGGTGGCTGGGGAGGATGGGGCCGAAGCTCAGGTCACAGGAGGCAGTGGGAGCCAAACCACATAGGACAGGCAACCCTAAATTCAAAACCCTAAACCCTAAACTCCTAAACCCTAAACCCCGTGAACCCTAAACTTTTAAACTCCTAAACCCTACATCCACAAAGCAACACCCCCAAGCCTTGAAGTATTTGTTGCCAACTTCTCGAGCATGCTCGGCCATGGAGGAGGTGGACGTTCCGGAGTCCTTCGCGGTTTTAGGGTTTTCTTTTGGGGTTTAGGGTTTAGGGTTTTAGGGTTAGGGGTTTAGCGTTTAGGGATTAGGGATTAGGTTTTTAGGGTTTTAGGATTTAGGGTTTTGGGGTTTAGGGTGTGGTGTTTAGGGTTTAGGGGTTTCTGGTCTTAGGGATACGGGTTTGGGGCTTCAGGATTTAAGGGTTGAACGGCGAGTTGACAGAACCATGGTCTCTTGGGCCAAGTTTAATCTCATCTTGTAGGTGCAGCTATATGCTGACTACCACAATGATGACTATGTTGCCCCGGTTTCTTTTGAGTGCAGCCCAGAAAGTTGGAACATCGATTTGGAAGATGTGGTGGGGCTCCATTTAATTTACCCGATGGGCATGAGGATAACGTTCCAACTTTCTGGCTTCTACTTTATGATATATGACATGTGGTGCGGCAGCAACAGCGACTGCGGCGGCAGCAGCAATGGCAGGAGTCACTATACTTTCCGCCTCCTGCTCAGCATATGCGGTCTTCGGGTGGGAAACGGAGACTATCAGTGGAACTGAAACTGTTGAGGCTGTTATTGCTGCTCGGATCGTGACATTCCGCGCAATCCCCAGGCTCCATCCTTGGCACTGCCTTTGGAGTTCCGGTGTCTCTGCGAAGTCCAGGGGGCCGTTATCCTGGGTTTTGAAATACCAATACCAAAAAGTATAGACTTTTATTTCATAATGGTCCCCTCGAAGTATACCATACTGGTCCCAAAAAAGGTATTAAAGTATGGTACTCCAAAGCCCAGTATCTTGTCGTCGATGGAGGTGGACTGCAGCAGCTGCAGCAACAGCTCCTGCGCAAGCAATGCTCTGCAGGCTTGTAGGCCGTGCCTTGCAATGAAACTCTTGACCCTAGACCCCAGACTCCTAAACCTGCATCACGAAATCGCAGCAGGAAACACCGAACTCCAAAAGCTTTGAGGTCTAACCCCGCAAACCCCACCCCACCCCCGGCAAACCCCAAACAGACACCAGAAAATTCAGAAGTTTCCTCCAGGGCGTCTTCCTTCACCGGCTTTAGGCAAGCATCGCTCTTCTCTTGCTCGGCCTCGGCTTCGAAGCTTTAATATAGGGGCCTTAACGGTGCGAATAGGGTGCCTTTAAAAGGGGTCTATTATAAGTGCTATGATAAGGATGTAATATGGGGGCCTCAATGGTAGAATAGGGCTTTGGGGCCCAGTGTGCTGTAATTATATTAAGGAATCCCCAAAATAGTAAGAACCTTGAGGCTTACAGGGATTGCTCCAAAGCTTGCCGGCGACTTTTAGGGTTTGGGGTTCAGGGTTTAGGGTTTGGTGTGGAGTTCAGGTGTTTAAAATTTTGGGGCTTCGCCGCTTCGACAGCCCTAAACCCTAAACAAAAGACAAACACTAAAGAGCCGCTGGTTCCCGCCAACTGCCCTCCTGCAAGAGACCCTAAACCCTCCACCCTAAGCCCAAACGCATCCCGAATTTTCCGTGCGTCCTCGTACATGGAGCAGTCACAGCGTCGACACCGTGCGCCCCACCCTAGTCCTTAAACCTCCAAACCCCTAAACCCCTAAAGCCCAAAACAATAAATCCCGAAACCTTATCCCCTAAACCCCTGAACCCGCAAGGGATCGCTTCCGAGGCTGTCACATCCGGGCCCGAGAACCATCGCGGCAGCCGGGGGTTCAACGAAGCCAGGCCTTTCTTAGGGTTTAGGGCTATTTAGGGTTTGTTTTGGGGCTTTGGGTTCAGGGGTTCAGAGTTTAGGGTTTAGGGTTTAGGGTTCTTAGGGTTCGGGGTTAAGGTTTTGGGGTTTGGGGCAGTCGCTGGGTTCAGCACTTTAGGTTTTTCGGACTACATCTATGAGGTCAACAAAGGCTCTAGGCACTATGCAGATGCTCAGCGTGAAGGGATTTGGGGCTTTGGGTATGTTGGGTTTGGGGCATGATAATATCGAGTTTAAAGCGGCCCGGGTGTAAGGTATCGAGTATGTTTTAGGGCTCCCGTATGTTCTGAATCTCCAAACTGTAGCAGCTTGAAGCCGAGCTCGAAAAGCCCTGCAAAACCATGGGAAAGAGCCCTGAAAATCCTATGCCCCAAACCCCAAACCCTAAAAAGCCCTAATTAAAAGCCCTAAAAGCCTTAAAAGCCCTAAACCAAAGTTCCCCATGGACTTGGCTTCTGGCCTGACGAAGAAGCCTTGCCACCCGCAAGCTTCACCTGCGAGGCTCCCAGGGTGGAAGAGCCTCCGTTTTGGGGGCTCCAGTCTTCCTGTAAGGTACCATATAAGGGTTACCAAAAGGGTGTGTGCTCTATCTAGATCTATCTATATATATATATATATAAGAAATAAATACATATGAACTATATATATATATATAACATACATATAAGGTTACCATTAATTACTGTATAACCATAAAGGGCTCTAACCATAACCCCTGAAGCAAACAAGGTCGCCTCTTCGTCGGTGGTTTCGGAGATCTTCTGACTACCTGTCACGATGAAGGGCATTCCGGCATCCGTGCCGCAGTCAGCGAACCCCAACCCTAAATCCTAAACCCTAAACCCCTAAACCCTAAATCCGTTACTATGTCGGTTCTTCCGATTGAATGCAACAAGAATCGCCAGCTGGCCTTCGCCCATCAAGTTGGCCACCAAGCGATCTGCAACACGCAAGACAAGTGCAACGACCCTTTCCCAGCTACAAGCAACCTTTGCCAGAGCCGCGTAGTCCTAAGAAGATGATATAGCAGAATATAGCAGAATATAGCATCATATAGCATCATATAATAAGATATAGTTGATTACAGTACAATGTAATATAGTGTGATATAATATAATAAAGATATAGCATAACACAGCATAAATTATCATGATTTTATGTAAGTAGAGGCAGGCAGCCTCTGAGGAGCTCCTTGAACAGGTTCAGATGAGGCGTGTCCTGACATTGGGTGGTTGTCAAAATAGGGTTCCTTTTTTGGGGTCCCTAATATAGTACGGCACCTAATATTTCAGGTACCCAAAAAGGGACCATAATTTTGACAACTACCCACATTGGGAAGCAATGAAGCTTGCATCCTCTTTGTGAGGGCTGCTCGCACCCTGGCGACCTTAAACATAAACCTCGAGATACCCTAAACCCTAAACCCCCTAAAACCCCATAAAACCGCCTAAATCCACCAAACCCCCTAAACCCCTAAACCCCCACTCGTGCGACAAGCAGGAGGTCTCCAGCTGAGGTATTTGGATGTTCCCGTCTGGCGTGCTCAAGTTGTAGCAACTGCAACCTCGGCGATGAGCGAACCCGAAGCACATCCTCTGCAAACCGCAGCAGCCAGTCCGACATGGGTGGTTGTCAAAATTCTGGGCCCTTTTTGGGTACCCTATATAATAGGTGCCGTAATATAATAAGGACCCAAAAAGGGACCTTAAAAAACATTGACAACCGCCCACATGATTTCCCCTTGGCTACCGCACTCTTCGTGTTGTTGACGCAGCTTCCACACCGACTGGCAGGAGTCTGGGCAGCTCTGCCTTGCAAAGTGGCTTTGCGTGGAACAAGGGTTACAGAAAGGCTAGGCCCAGAGACTCCAATATCCCTTATAATTAGCGAATAATCGTTAAATCATATTAAGGATCCTACTAGACTATAATTTAAGGTATATTCCTTAATTAAGGGCTGTTGGAGTCTCTGGGGGCATGGCTACAGAAGAGCGGTACATCACAAGGCGCCTTGTGCTTTCTTGTCGGAAGGCTTCGAGCTCGGCTGAGAAGGTGTTTCCTGCAAGCTCGGCTTGAGCATGCAAACGTAGTGAAGATGCTGCTTCTTCCAGCTAGATCCCTATCCTCCGCAGCCCTAACTTGACTTCAACAAAGGATCTGCATGTATGTCGAAAAAACCACAGACCCTAAATCCCAAGCTTGAAAGCTTTCGAGCTTCGCGGCTGTCCTTCACTCCGAAGGAGATGTCTTTCTCCTTGGTCTCCTTCCGACCAATTTTCGCGGACGAACATGGGTAATGATGCAGAATCACGCTGAGAAATCGCAGTACGGGACCACAAATGCACAAGGAACGCAACACCGCGAGAACAACTACATGAGGACAAAGATAAGCACGGGGATGAGATGAGAGGAAGATGAGAGGAGATGATGGGGTGAAGCGAAATGCTGAAAATTCCTGTCGCCAGACACGAGGAGTCTGGGTGGGTTGGTTTGGCTTTATATAGGGATCCTTATTACCCACGCAGACTCCTCCGTTTGTGGTGTGTGTGCTTGTAGTGGCCGTGAATTGGTTGTCGTTTCACTTGCTTTCCGGACGACGACGCCAGTTGTCAACCGTTGGCCTTGCTACGTGCTGTAGGCCACGCTTCTGCGCACATGTCAGATGGTTGCCCCTTCATTTCGCTGTGAGGGGCGCACACAGGTGTCCGGTCCATTTGGGGGCTGACGACACAACAACAAAATTAGCTGGTTAGTTGAAAATTCATGTCGCCGGCCGGTGTTCAGTGCCAGAAGTCGATCAACAGATGAAACAAGCTTCTAGCAATCTAGCGCCAGATAGGTTCAGCACGTAACAAGACCAACGGCGATGAAAATGAGCACGGGACTCACATTGACGTGAGCAAAGGGTAGCACGCCAATAATACAACGTGCCCCACAAAATCACTCAGCACCGAATCCACGGAAACTTCGGGTCCAGGGTTCAGGGTTTCTGTTCGGGTTTCGTATTTCTAAATATCAGTTTAGGGTTTAGGGGTTTAGGGTTTAGGGTTTAGGGGTTTAGGGTAATAGAGCGTGACATGTCTTTGGACTTTGCTACAACATCATTTAGGGCGACATCAAGCAAGCGCGGGCCTTGGAAGGCCCACTGCCGCCCTTGTAGCCATAAAGCGCTGATGCTGCAGCTGCAGGAGCAACTGCAACCAACTCCTGGATGATGGCAGCTGCAAGGACCCTAATAAAGGGGGCCTTAATAATTAGAATAGGGTTCCGTTAAATTATTAAAAGGGGTCTATAAGGGCTACTATAGGGGCTAGGATGTAATATAGGGGCCTTAATCATTAGCGTAGGTTTTGGGGCCCACTATACTGTAAGCATAATAAGGAACCCCAAAAATATTGGTAATGATCTAGGCCTCTATTTTAATCAGAGAACCCTACACTTCTAAAGAGCCCCATGACAATGAAACTTTACAAGGATACAGTAGACCCTAAAGCCTTGAAACCCGAAGTAATTTGTCATCCTTAGTAGTTAAGGGTTTGGGGCTACCTTCTAGTACCACGATATGTAATAAGGATCCCTAAGGAAGCATTTGGGTAACTATTTAGGCTTCTATATGGGTGGTTGTCAAAATTATGGTACCCAAAAAAGGATCCAGTTTCAGAAACTAGGGGTTCCTAATATATAGGATCCTTATTATAAGGACCCCAAAACGAGGTCCTCCCAATTTTCGGAAACTTTAGACCCCTATAGAGCCATTTGAAGCAACCATTATAGTACCCTTCTAGTAACCCTTTACAGGCACCCCTAATTTTCGGAAACTCCAAACCCTAAACCTTTTATAGGTCCCTTGAAGGAACCCTATATAAGGATCCCTTTAGAGGAACCCTTATAGTACCCTTAACCCTGTAAAGGTACCCGCCCTAATTTTCGGAAACTGCAAACCCCTACAGCCCTTTGAAGAAACCCTTATAGTAACCCTTTAAAGGAACCCTTATAGTACCCTTAAGCCTTTAAAGGTACCCCTAATTTTCGAAAACCCTTTATCATTAATCCCATCATGTCATGGCTGGCCTCGAACTTGGCCAGGTCAAGGCTTCGCATCTCACCGCCTCAGTGAGAAGTTTGGGATACCCGAAGGCCTGGGTTCAGGGGTTTAGGTGTGCAGGGTTGGGGGTTTGGGGTTTAGGGCTTGGGGGTTTGGGGGTTTAGGGTTTAGGGGTTTAGGGTTTAGGATTTAGGGTTTGTTTTTTTTATTTTGCGGGCCCTTTTCCCACTGCAGGTACCAGAAGGAATACCTTACCAGGTGGGTTTAGGGTTCAGGGTTTAAGGTTTAGGGTTGCTGTAACCTGTACTTGGAGGTTCATGGGTAGTTATAAGTAGGGTTATAAGTCGGGTAACTATACTTATAACCCATATCAGGGGACTTAAAACCCCTCTTATAACTACCCATGAACCTCCAAGTATCCTCTGCTTTCGCCAAAATGAGGCGCGAACCTGATGGATCTTCCTGTGACAGAGGCTTTTCTTTTGGCATCGTGGTGCGCAGCTGCATCATCCATAGTGCTGATGGACAAAATCCTGCCTGACCCATTATAAGGAATATACCATAATTCTCATAGTTTAGAGTCCTTAGGGTCATGCAGGATTTTGTCCATCATCCATACCAGGGAGCCCAGGAAAACTCCAACCCCGATAGCCGCCAGACCAGGCAGGCCCTCGAACCGAGAAAAGAGAAACAATCCAAAGCCCCCATCCTTTCTGCTGTTTTCGATGATGAAGTCTGCGAAACCTGGGACACGGAGGGCGTTCCACACCGGGTTTTCAGGGTGATGTCCGTTCAGGCTGCTCCGGAGTATGCTTTGCAGCAGGCCCAGGCACCGGGTTTTGCTATCATAGGTAGTATTATTTGAAAGACCCCTTAAAGGGTACGCCTTCTGAACCCCAGATCTGGCTCTCTTAAAAGGGACCTTATTGAGAGGGTCTTTATCCCCAAGGGTCCCCTTAATCCTAACTCCCATATCAGGACTTGCAGGGGGCTCCTGGTTTGGGATGCTTTGACGAGGTATCCCGGCAGACAGAGACTCCTCCAATATCCCTTGATTAGGGAATAGACCTTAAAATTAAGGTATATGCCTTAATTAAGGGATATTGGAGTCTCTGGGCAAACAAGCGGGTGAAAGGCACTTTATGCTGGAGTCTTCACGCGATGAAACAAGCCTCCAAAAGCCTGCCTTGAACTACCAAAAAAATGCTTTTTGGTAGGCTCCGAGAATAGCCCCAATGTGGAATGCATAGGGGCGCTACCACAAAGTAGGTTTCGGCAGGTTAAGGTATTGACCCTAATTACTGACATGTACCCAAAGCCGATCCCAGTCAGCAGCATCGAGCCTTGCGCGACTCTCTGAAGGACGCTTTCGGAGATGTCGGAGGGCTCACCTGCTGTGGTTGCGTGTTTCCTGTTCATGCTTGAAGGGTTTTTAGGGTTTTGGGTGCTCCCCCGTCTTCAAATCTGTACTCCGGATGTGGGAAACCTTGAGGAAGGGAACCGCTTCCTAGAGAGCTCCACTCGGCACTTGCATCGGCGCCTTCCGTCTTTTGACCTGCTTCAGAGGCGCGGGGAACCCAAGCAGGGAAGCTCAGCTGTGAAAAGCGGGCCTTCTATGCCCGTCTTTTTGGCGGCGAGGACGCCTGCTTCAAGATGAAGCAAGAGGGTGAAGCCCGGCTAGCATCTCGATCCCTTGCGCCCCGAGCCTTCTGTAAGAGGCCCGCTGTAGCACAGCCAGGCCTGCAGCATAGCTGCAAACTCGTGAAGAAGAAGGCCAAGGCGGGGAAATCTACAGCAACAACCGGCTGAGAAGGCGTCCGCCACAAAGGTCCAGACCTGAAATTTCGAGTGGAATCAAGTTGTCATAGGTTACCCATACCCCCGGGAGGATCCAAACAGTAGATCCCTTAATGGGGGTTCCTAATAAAGTACCCTTAGTAGTATAGGGCCCCAAATTAGGGGATCTACTTTCTAGATCCTCCCGGGGGTCTGGTTAGGCGCAACTGAGCTCCCGGCCATGACAGCCACTGCAAAGAAGGTGGCCCCTACTTGCAGGTACCTGGTGGGCCATCCCACAGGTCTCTACCAACAAATCGAGGGCATAGGAGTTTCAGTTTTGTGTTAAGGGCTCTTTTCCGACTGCGAACAGCTAGGATGCAGGGCTCAGGACCCAAACCCTGAACTAGGGCCCCGAAAAAACACATAAGCAAAAACAAGGATAGTGATATCCCTACAAAATGCCTATGCTTATGTGCTTTGGGGGTCCCTGATGAACATCCTCAGTGCCTGCCTTGCCTACACGGGCACGGTCCAGTCGAATCTTCGACGACTTCCTGCGCGCCCAGCCATGGAGCAAAGAAGGAGAAACCAAAATCCTCTAAGCTTAATTTAGGGTTTGGGGTTAAGGGTTTAGGGTTTAGAGTTTAGGAGTTTAGGGGTTTAGGGTTGGGGTTTGCCTGAGACAAGATCACTACTTGGAGGTTCGTGGGTAGCTACAAGTAGGGTTATAAGTAGGGTAACTATACTTCCAACCCATATTGGAGGACTTATAACCGCACCTATAACTACCCATGAACCTCCAAGTAGGGTTTGGGGCTGATGGTCTAAAGCCTCTTCATGTGAAAGTTTGTCAACACATGAGAGCGGCACAGACTCCGGTCGAACAGGGCTCCTTGGAAAGATTTCTCCAAGGATTAGTGAAAGCGTTACGATCAGGAATACTAGAAGGATTGCTTAAACTTTCAATAGAGGACTATTAAAGATTACAGCCAGGCTTATACTCCTTAAAAGACCCCTGAAAATTCCCCGAGTGCCTTTATAAGCCTTTATATATGCGGCTCTGATATACTAGAGTTTTGCCCCTTTTTACAATATCCTGGTAGTAAGGAGCCCCAAGGAATAGTGTTGGTAATTATTGCGGCTTCTATGTTACTATACGCGCCTTAATAATTAGAATAGGGTTTGGGGGCCGATTATACTACAATCAGAATAAGGAATTTCCAAAATAGTATATAATGGTATTTGTTTAAGCCCCTAAATTAGGTGCCCGGATCCCCGACCCAGAAAGGCCTCATCTGACGGGTCCGAGATGGGCGGCGTCCTAACGTCCGAACTTCCCGGTTTCTGGGTTTAGGGATCTCGGGATTTAGGGTTTAAGGGTTTGGGGTTTAGGGGTTTAGGGTGTAGGGTTTAGGGTTTAGGGGTTCAGGGTCTCGGGTTTCCGGTTTGGGGTTTAGGATTTAAGGCTTTAGGGTTTCAGCACCTTCGGGTTTAGGATCTAGCGTCGGCATCGTGGGTCTCGTTCTGGGATTGCCGGCTTTGTGTTAGTGGATCGAGATGTGGTGCTGTGTTCAGAAACTGTAACCATGCGACCTGGGAGCAAATGAGACTTGGAGGCTCGGGGGGCTTAGTAACTGGTTATTTTAGGGACTTATAAGTACCATAACATCAATTAGGTCCCTTTTAGGGTACTTATAAGTCTACTTACTACCTACTTGCTAAGTCCCCCGACCCTCCAACTAAGGTATCGGTGTAGTGCACATGAAAGCTGTTCTACTACAACAAAGTCCTTCCGTAGGCTCTCCTTTGAGTAAACTCCAAATACACGGTCACCATATTGGTACCTCACAGAACATCGTCTGAACCTGATCTGGCTCTCTCGAAATCCTTGGCCGAGACAGAACACCATGCGGGAAGAAAGAACGAAACCACGAAGGATCTTATGTGGATGAACAGTATCGTATGGCAGGAAGAATATGGCCAAATGCACATAAGATCTTCAATCCAAACCAGGTGTCATGCAGCGGAAGCTCGCTGCGCATAGCATGCCGTATAGTGTGGTATGATGCAACATACTATCCAGCACTGGGTGCCCAGCATCAGCAGCGGCATGATCAGGGCAGCGCATAGGGCACAGCTGTGCCAAAACCTGTCATCAGCCGCTTCTCCAGCACTTGGCACCTTTGGCACCTTTACTGCCCCGACTGTTGGTTGCTGCACTGCTATTGTATGCGCATGGTGACGATCGGTTTCCCACAATGACAACAAACCACGCTGTACAGTAATACAGTCTGCAGACTACTACACTGTTACATTGCCACGCTGCTAGCGCTGAAGTAGCCATGAGTACTATAGGGGCCTCCATTCAATAATTAGAGTAGGAATTTCGGGGCCCGATATACTATAGTCGTAATAAGGATCCCTAAGGATTCTTATAAGTAACTATTATAAGGCCCCTATTTACATCGCTTTATTGCTGACTCGCTCCATTGCTAAGTTGCACTGGAAGTACCTTGTGTCGCATTTTGACGGACCGTACTTGGAGGTTCATGAGTAGTAAGTATAGGGTTACAAGTAGGGCAACTATACTCATAACCCATACTTAAGGGACTTATAACCCCAGTTATAACTACCCATGAACCTCCAAGCACCTATATCTCGCGACCTTTGTTCTACATGCGCAGCACTGTATCCTTACCGTCTTGGAACCCATGACATGCCCAGTCCCAGCTAACTTCCCGAAATAGGCTCGTACAGCTAGCATAGTTTCTGCAGTCTCACATTCATTGTCACACTTGTGGTCCATCCACTAAGTAGTGAAGACTACAAGATCAACGTTATGATCTCAGCCGATTCTTACTGGCATACTGCGAGCACACAGCTTCCAGAGCAGTTGGTCTCGTTCAACCGTGCCTAGCCATGTTGCCAGCTGCGGACACAGACAACAGCGACGTCGCCGCACTAACCTCGGAAAGCCGCAAGGCCATAGAAAGCAAGCAGCACCGACAACTCAGAGACTCCAATATCCCTTAATTAATACCTTAAATTATAATGGGATCCTTAATCTGATTTAAGGATTAATTATTCCCTAATTAAGGGATATTGGAGTCTCTGGGAAAAAGGCGATCAGAAACAAGATGTAGCGTAAACCCTGAACCCTGAATCCCAAACCAACGAGCGCCCTCCGTTTCTTGACGATTCTGGACTCAATGGCAACGGTCAACAGTTTAGCAAGGTTTAGGGTTCAGGGTGCAATAACATAAGAGGTGAGAGGCTGAGCGCCCCCAGCTAAAGCAAACTTCACTTTGCTAGCATGGTAGGGTGATATATTGCACGACAAAGGACAAATAGGCTACCGAACCAACCACGAAGATAAGCAACAAATATTACTGTTTTCTTTAAAGGAACCCCAAAAGATCCCTTTAAAGGAACCCCTATAGATCCCTTTGAAAGTAGCGCGTCCTTTCTCTGGTGGCATCCGAGACACCGGAAGCGCACCCTTCACTGCAGTACCCGATCGCGGGGACCTGGGTCAAGATCACTACTGTAGGGGCCTTAAATTTTTGTTTTGGGTTCCTTTAAAAGGGGGTCGATAAGGGCTACTATCAGGGCTGTTATCAGGATGTAATATGGGGGCCTTAAAATTTTTGTCTAGGGTTCTGAGTCCCACCTACACGATGTTCTTTACAAGGAACCCCCCAAAAATAGTATAGGTAAGTATGAAGGGAAGACTTCCTGGTGCTTCGTGGGGGGCATGGATCCGTAAAGTAATCCCTATATAATCCCCAACAAAAGTCTCCATAATCCATTCCCCCATTCCCTACTAAGAAACAAACAGAAGATCACTAGGCACTGCGTTCTCCGCCGCTTCCAGAAAAAAACTAAAGCCTGACACTTGCGAACCGTAACTCTAATAATCCAAACCCTAAATCCTGACGACCCCAACCTCCCCGCCATAATCCTCAACTTCAAAGCCTGAATCTCAAGCCTCACCTATCCCTAAACACAAGGACCCCAATGAAATGGCCCTCCCTACAAGTACTTGGTGGTTCATGGGTAGTTATAAGTGGGGTTACCAGTCCCTGAATATGGGTTGTAAGTATGGTTGTCCTACTTATATATAACCCTAGTTTTGACTACCCATGAACCTCCAAGTAACCCTAAACCCCAACCCATAAACCCAGGTCCAGAGATTGAGCGCCGCACTTGGGCTTCATGGCAGGGGAACCATGCTTGGTCTCCACCATGCCTTCTGTAGCTTTCGGCGTAGTGTTAAGGGCTTCGGGTTTAGGGTTTAAAGGCTTTTTGGTCGCAACCGTACCAAAGCCAGAAAGCAGCACTAGCAGCAAACTTGAAGCTAGCAGAACGAGAATTGCAACTGCCTCTTCGAGCTGAGCTGGAGACCGAAACAGCGAGACTGCTCGCCGGCGGAAGCTTTGGTGACACAAGTTTGAGAGTGTTGCTCCGTGTGGCTCTGCTTCGGTATGCTGGCGCGGTGTGGTAAAGGGCTCTGCACTTGTTGGTAGCGGAATAGTCTGTCCTGCTGCACCCTTGGTGGGCCTGCGCTGTGATGCGAAACTCACACTGACGTGGAATGGAGCATCCCATGCTTGTCAGAAACCCATATGTCTCTAGTTCATCTTTCCATTACGGCACTGCACGGATCCCTGCAGGACCCACGCAGAGGCTGCATGGTTCGATCCATGGTAGCAGCATCCCGTGCATCATGACTGCACATGTCGATGTCCTGCAGACCCAGCAACACGATGAGATCGCAAGCCATGGGAGCTGACAAACCCCCTAAACCCTGAACCCCTAAACTCTAGACGCTAAACTCTGAACCCCCAAACTCTAAACCCTAAACACAGCGCACCATTATTTTTCAGAGCGTATTCGACTCAGCGCTTTCGGACTGAAGCGCAAAGAGAACTCGCCGCAAGGTCTGGCGTGGGTTAAGCGGGGTCCCAGGCTTGTCAAGTTCAGGGTTTATGGTTTAGGTTTGAAGTTAGGGTTTAGGGGGGCTTGTTCAGATTTCTCAGAAACCTGCATGAAAATAGCTGAAGACGGCAGACTGACTAATTCACTGACGAAAGGAGTGACTGCCGATGCTTCGCCATGCTATTGCCTGGTGGGTATAGAAGTGTCGTGTTGATGCGACAGCATGCAGTATAGTGATCATGACGCGCCGATTGCTGTGCTCGCTATGCTATGCTATGCTGGGCTACGCTAGGCTAGGCCAGGCCAGGCTTGGCTGTGCTATGCTGTATTGCGATGCTCCTTGCTGCTCTAAGCTTTGCTAAGCTATGCTATGTTACGATATGCTATCCGATGCCCCGTGCGACGCGATCTTTGCTATGCTATGCTCTGCTAGGCTATACTATGCCATACTATGCTACAATCTGCTGTGTTCCGCTTAAGTTGTGATATGCTATCCATGTTATGCTATGTTAGATCATGTTACGGCGTGCTGTGTAATGTTCTGCTATGTTGCCGTGTGTTCTGTTGTCAAGTTGTGCTTAGCCGCTATGCTGTGCTGTGTCTGCTATGTTATGTGTGTGGACGGACGGACGCACGCAGGGACAGGGAGGGAGGCATGGATGGATGGATGGATGGATGGATGGATGGATGGATGGAGGGATGGAGGGATGGAGGGATGGAGGGATGGAGGGATGGAGGGATGGAGGGATGGAGGGATGGCTGGCTGGCTGGCTGGCTGGCTGGCTGGATGGATGGATGGATGGATGGATGGACAGAAGGACGGTCGGAGGGATGGAAGCATGGAAGGATGGAGGGATGGAGGGACGGTGGGATGGATGGATGGGCAAGCAAGCGTGCATGTTACGCATGAATGTATGTAAACACATATACATATACATACACACTGCATTTCAGTCAGCTCTTTATTTCTAGGCCCGAACCTCCATGTAACGTCCCTGGTAACCCGACTAGCCCTCGCAACCCTCATAGCACTGACAAGCCTAATCACCCTCATAAGCGCGATGACCCGAACAATCTTCATAAATACCCTAACCCTAAACCCAAATCGTAAACCCGATTCGAGCACCCGGGAACCTAATCAAAAATCCGAATCCTCATCCTTCGGAGAGCCTCAATTGGGGCCGACGAAGGGAGCACCAAATCGCCGGTAGAGGCGTCTTTGGCAAAACCAGCTCCTTAGGATTGAGCGCTTAGGGGGGGAACAATCAGAATACGAGGGGATGCATGCATATGGACATGTAATGCGTGTGAAGATAAGCATATGTGTGTGTGTGTGTGTATATATATGTATATGAATATATACATTCATTATGAAGGGACTATGAAGGGATACCATCAAACCTTGCAAAGCCAGCTCGTAGGACCAGCTCCTAGTGTGCAGGGCTTTGGGTTTAGGGTTTAGATGTGGAGGGTTTGGGGATGTGGAGGTTTGGGGTTGAAGATTTGGGAGTTTCCGAAAATAGGGGACCCTAATATAGCACCCTTAATAGTAGGATCCTTATTATAAGGACACCCTAATTTTCGGAAACTCCCATTTAGGAATTCGGATTTGGGGCTAAAGGTGCAGAGCGGGTCTTCTACTTCGCCGCTGAGGCTCTTTCCAGCAAGGCCACCGCCTCGGAGTGAGACAGCAGCTCTCGCACCACCCGGTCGTTGCTCGCCTTCAGCCGGCGGAACTTCTCCTCCTGGGGCTGGGCGGAGATCTTGTCCAAAGCCACTCGGACGGTTCGGAGGCTTCGGCTTGCCTCCTCTGGCTGCAGACGGAGGCGTTGAGCAAGCTGCTGCTGCAGTTGCTCCACTTCCGCTCGAGTTGCTTCCAGCGGTGCCTCTTGGAGGGACCCTTAATAAGGACCCGTAGGTATATAGCTATTATATACCCATTATATAGCCCCATTATAGAGTAAGGGTCCCCATTAAGGGTCCCTCCTTTTCCCCTTGAAGGCCGCGGCGATGAGGACTCCGGGGAGTCTGCGATGCCTCGAGGCCTAAGTGGAGGGCTTCCTGGGCGAGATGGCTCCAAGTACCTGGGCATCTCTCCTTGATGAAGGCGATGAGCTCGTCGCCTATACTGTTGTGGGAGTTCCTTATTATGACTATAGCATACATGATCGGGTACGGGTACTATCCCCTATAGACCCTGTCAAAGGAACCCTCTTAAGGCCCCCCATATTGTACTATCCATGTAGTATCCCCCAAAGGACCCCTTTAAAGGAACCCTACTCTAAAACTATCAAGGCCCCCATATTATAGTACGCTTACAATATCCCTTGTAGTAGCCCCCTACTTGGAGGGTCGGGAGACTTAGTAACTGGTTATTTTAGGGACTTATCCGCCGACCCCTGCGGGCGGCGCCCGTGATATCCTGAGAGGTGTCCGCACCCACACCGCTTCCACCGCCTCCACCGCTCTGTTCAAAGAGTCTTTCACCGCTGTATCTGTAGGTGTTTAAAAACTATTTAAAGGCTGCCAATGTGTGCCCGGACCTCTCCGCGCCCCCACTGCCCCCACCGTCCTCACCGCCCTCACAACCTCCACCACCGCTCTGTTTAAAGAGTCCTTCACAGCTGTATTTGTAGGTGTTTAAAGAGTATATAAGAGTATTTAAAGGCTGCCAATGTGTGCCCGGACCCCTCCGCGCCCACACCGCCCCTACCGCCACCACCGCCCTCGCTGCCCTCACCTGCCTTTGTAGCACCACCCCCACCGCCCCCCCCACCGCCCCGCCGCCCTCACCACCCCCACCGCCCTCACTGCCCTCACCTGCCTTTGTAGCACCACCCCCACTGCCCCCCACCGCCCACTTCCACCACCGCTCTGAGTTTTCACCGCTGTATTTGTAGGTGTTTTTAACATTCCTCCACTGTGCCCGGACCGCTCTCATTGCCCCCACAGCTTCCGCCGCCCTCACAGCTCTCACCGCCCTCACCATCCCCACCACCTCCACCACTGCCACCACCCCCAGTGTTCTGTCAGGTGAGTTATAAGCGCTGTGTTTGTAGGTGTTTAAAGAACATTTAAAGGCTGCCAATGTGTGCTCACCGCCCACACCACCCTCACCGCCCTCACCACCCACCAGCCCCAGCCACCGCCCCTGCCACCACCTCCACTGTGCCCGCACCGCTCTCATTACCCGAACCGCCCTCGCAGCTCTCACCACCCTCACCATGCCCCACCCCCACTGTTCTGTCAGGAGAGTTAACCGCTGTGTTTGTAGGTGTTCAAGTATTTGAAGGCTGCCAATGTGTGCCCGGACCCCCGCGCCGCCCTCACCGCCCACCGCCCTCACCACCCCCACCGCCCTCACTGCATCCCCACTGCCTCCCACCGCCCTCACCACCTCCACCACCACTCTGTTGAAAGAGTTCTCACCGCTGTACCACCACCCTCACCGCTTGATCCTCCCGCCCACCGCTCACCGCCCTCACCACCTCCAGCACCCCAGCCACCGCCCCCACCGTTTACACCACCTGCCACCACCTCCACGCTTCCGCCGCCCTCACAGCTCTCACCGCCCTCACCACCCCCACCACCTCCACCACTGCCACACCCCCAGTGTTTTAACCGCTGTGTTTTTGGTGTTTTAAGAGAATAGAAAGGCTGCCAATGTGTGCCCGGACCCCCCGCGCCCCCACCGCCCCCACCGCCCTTACCCCCCACACCGCCCTTCACCACCCTCACCATCTCCACCACCCCCAGCCACCGCCCCTGTCACCACCTCCACCCGCTCTCATTACCCCCATTCCGCCGCCCTCACAGCTCTCACCGCCCTCACCACCCCCACCACCTCCACCACTGCCACCACCACTGTGTTTGTAGGTGTTTGAAGAATATTTAAAGGCTGCCAATGTGTCCCCGGACCGCCCCCACCGCCCTCACCGCCCGCACCGCCCCACCACCTTCATCCACCGCCACCACCCCACCTCCATTACTGCCACGCCTGCACTGTGCCTCCCCCTGTCACCACCTCCAACCCCCACCGCTTCCGCCGCCCTCACAGCTCTCCCTCACCACCCCCACCACCTCCACCACTGCCACCACCGCTGTGTTTGTAGGTGTTTGAAAAATATTCAAAAAGGCCCTCACCGCCCACACCGCCCTCACCGCCCTAACCACCCCCACCACCTTCATCCACCGCCACCACCCCCACCATCTCCATTACTGCCACGCCTGCACTGTGCCTCCACCGCTTTCGCCGTTCCCACCGTCTCCACCGCTCTCACCGCCCGCTGTATTTGTAGGTGTTTAAAAAGTAAAGAGTATTTAAAGGCTGCCAATGTGTGCCCGGACCCCCCGCCACCGCCCCCACTTGGAGGCCCTGTTGGGTTAGTAATTGGTTAGCTGACTTACTATCTCCTTGGCTGACTTAGGCTATGTGACTCCGAGGAGTTAGTCGTCACGACTTAGCTGGACGCTTGAATCGACTTAGGATATGTCAAATAGGAGAGTTACGGTATGTCAGTAAATCGACTTATGCTAAGTCAGATTATTAGAGTTAGCGGTGACTTGGGCTAAGTCGGCTAAGTCGACTTAGCCGGCAATGCGATAAAGGCATTTTTTGCTATGCTGTGCCAACTCCCCCCACCTCTGAAGGCTTGCAGGTAACCCAAACAAATCAATGCACAACCTATATTAGAAAACAAAAGAGAAGCGTGCGGGCACCAAAAAGAAAGAACAGATCCAGAACTGCATATTCGGCATTCCAAAGCACGGGCCTGATTTCTTTATAAATCTTTTTTTGTACTTGAACATGTCAAATCGAAATGGATACTGTTCTGCTGTTCGGTCACAGCCCCCTATATACAATTATAGCACAAACCACATGAGGACCAAAGTACTGTGCGAGTCCAAGCACGTCTTCGATGCCAGTGTTTTCGGAAGAAGCAATACTCAGGATTTTCATTTTCTGGGATCGAAAAAAAAGCGAGTCTGGCCGCTGGCTTAGAATGGCTTTCCCTATCGCAGAAAAGTTTGCACGTTCTTGAATTCTCCGCAGGCGAACACGCGTGCTAGCACGTTTTTCCATGTGTGCGTGTTTGTGTGTGTGTGTCTGTTTGCACGCATGTATGTACGTACATATGTACACATATATAAGTATAAGTTTAAGTAAGCAAGCAGGTACGAAAAAATAGGTAAAGTAACTTAAGTCGGTAAGTAAGTAAGTATATATGTATGTACGTGTGTATGTTTGTATGTAAGTATCCAATTTGATTCATGCTCCCGTGAACCTCTTAGTTCTTAGTGTTGTGGAGTTGGTGCATAGCAGGCTTTGGACAGAGCATAGATCCTATGTGGCAATAAGCCAAAAGCAAGGATCCGATTAGAGCTGCGGTAGTGTCAGATTTAAGCCTCTAGACAAACAAGATAAAAGAAGAATGCTATACTCAGGTTACAGGTAGCTCCTATACACTGGTGCTACATGTGACTTGTCAGTTTAACACCCGGCACCATCCCGGTGCACTGAGGGTGTGCCCCAGCACCATCCCGGTGCATTTGCGGGGTCTTTATACGGCTTGCTCTGGCGCCATCCCGGCGCACGGGAGCTCCTGCGGAAGGACGTCGGGCGGTCGAAGTGCGCCGGGAGGGCGCCGAGGCCGACCTGCAGTGCACCGGGATGGTGCCGGGTCGAGAAAGACCCCGTTAAATGTGCCGGGACGGCGCTGGGGCGAGCTCTGAGTGCACCGGGACGGTGCCGGGTTCGACGACAATGCTGCAGAAAGCAGCGATAGGGCCGACGACGAGACGACGACGACCGGGACGACGTCGACACTTCTTTCAGGAGACAGACGAGGACGGGAGCATGCTGACATGTGCACATAGCTAATCGTACTATTCATTAAATACAATGGTAGCAGTAAGTAAACCGATGCCATAGTCGTGAGTTAGTGCTACCTGGATCCCACATCAAACGCAGTACTTATAAATATGACCCTCAAAGTTTGCGATTCCTAGTACCACTAGGCTACGACTTCTATTCATTCTACTGCTTCTATTGCTCCTACTATGTAGAAGTAAAAGTAGAAGTAACTGCAGCCCTGACTGAGGCCCCGTCTGAAGATCGAGGGAATCTATATAGGCTATGCTAAATTAAAAGGTTATTTCCAGGCTTCGGAATCAAGGATCTCCCCATCACTTCCTGCCTTCGTCGGGGCATGTGAAGCACCGTGCCCGAAGCCATGGTGCTTTGCAGGGACCTGGGCTCCGATGGCCAAAGCGAAGGGCTCTTTGCAACAGCTGCAAGGCGCGGAGAGACTGAACAGAGAGGTCATCCTTTTGGCTTCCGCGTTGCCAGCCCACCCGTTCTGAACCGCCCTCCGCGTCCCGGCCTACGCCTAGGATGTTTAGGATTTCTATGTTATATGCTAAGCGGAGGACCGGTTGAGGACGGGTCCCTCCTGCCGAAGTCTCGTCATCATGATTTAGCTCAGTCAATCAAACCACCTCTTCATGTATGCACTCGTAATCTGTTGGAACGCTAGGTTCCCACAGGTGAAGCTGATCCTAAATGAACAAGGGCCTCTGTGACTGAGCTAAATGTATGGCTGTAGCTGATGCAGCTGCGCCCTTTGGCGTAAGCTGCAGCTGTCATGCAGCAGTCTCTCCGGGTCATGTTGCGAAACATCAGCCGTCCCTTGGATTTTGTCGAGGCATAGCCAGACTGCATGAGGAAGGGAACTCATCATTATTCTGCCAGGTAGCTCTTCACTCGACTGCGAGGGCACCACACTTGTGGCGATCTCCGTGGGCTCCATGGGTGGCGAGTCTTCCTACGCAGACTCGCGCGAGAGAGAGAGAGAGAGAGAGAGAGAGAGAGAGAGAGAGAGAGAGAGAGAGAGAGAGAGAGAGAGAGAGAGAGAGAGAGAGAGAGAGAGAGAGATTTGCAATGCATTCAGTTTGACCAGGGTGCTGCCGGGGAGGTCGGAGCAGTGCACGCAGCGAGTCCCTGTGATCAGTGGCATGGGTTCACTCGTCATGCTGGATGAGAAGCAGACAACACCCCAAACCCAAACCCTTGATCAATCGGATGTGCTTCGATTCCTGCTTCAGGAGCGAAAGCTCTTCCAGG